CTCTGACTGGAATCCTTTCCTCCTAGAATTCTGAATAGCGTCTCTGCTCATTTCCTTCAGGCCTCTGCTTAGATGCCTCTTTCTCAATGAGGCCTTACTATAACCTTTTGTGAAATTTTAATAGCAACTATAACATGATCACAGGGAACATTATCTTTTCCCCTGACACAAATTTTTTTAGCAGAGTCCCTATCACATATGACATGGCATATATAGTTCCAGATTCTGGGACCAAAATGCCAGTTTTGAATTTGGCTTTGCCACTTGCTCTGACTTTAGGCAAGTTTCTTAGCCTCTTTAATCTTCAGTTTAATCAACAAAAAAAGTTGAGATGATAATAATAGTATTTAGTTAGTAGAGTTGTCAGAAAAATAAACGAGCTTACTCAAAATTCTAGGTGTTCACTTAGTGTTAACTACTATCATCATGTTCATCATCATTATTAATTGTCTGCTTCTCCTCCTGGAATAGAAGCTTCTTGAGATCAGGGAGTTTGTTTCATTCACTGTTACATCACTGGCACCAAGAACAGCGCCTTGAGTGCAGTCTGGTCTCAACACGTGTTTGTTGAAGAAACAAATTCCTGCAATAACCCTGGAGGTAGCTGTTCTTATCTGCTTTCTACAGATTAGGAAATGCAGGCTAAAATAAATTCAGTGTCTCAAATATTTTGACCCCCAACTGTAAGGGAGTTAAGGTTGTTTTAACAATGAAAAGTATGTCACTTCCTCATAAAATGGACTCTCTGGAACACTGAGACCATTCTTAGGGGTCAGGGATTTTCCCACAAAGTAGGTGTTCCTTAGGTATGTACCACTTCAACTGAAACTAAATCTGACTGGAAAAATGCTAAGGTATTTTAGGAAGTTAGGAAGCACAAAAAGTTCAGTTCTTAATGAGAAAAGTTTTGTTTTGTTTTGTTTTAATGTTTGTCCAGTGGGTGGGACAAACGGAAGAGCTAGTAGAACAATTCCTTGGTGTCTGGAAAATGGTACACACTGCTGGCTAGGAGAGCTACCTTTTCACTGGTGATGATAAGAGACATTTTCTTAGAAAAGGTGTTGCTTTCTAAGTTCTGAAAGTTTAGGTTTCTTTTACTACTTATGTATGTATATAAAATTCTTACTCTCAAGAAATTTATAGTGTACAAAGGGGGATGTTTATATAGACAATTATAGTGAACATTTATATAGACAATTACAATGACAATGAAACAGTAATGGCAACATACTGTTATAGAAGTGTGGGTACCACAGGCATATGAAGAAATTTTTACAGAGGCATTGACATTTGAGCTAAGGCTTAAGAATGAAGTTGGGATCTGTCCAGTAGATGTAAGAGGCTGGATCAGGAGAGCTTTGACCTTGGCAATAAATTGGATTTTATTCTTTTGGCATAATGGGGAACTCTGGGAAGAACAGAAGGACACAATCAAAGTAACTGACATGATGTGTAAATGTATTTGAGGTAATGGAGGAGAAAAGGAACTTTCTAATTTGAGTCATAGGGTCAATTAAAGTGTTCCTTGCCTAATTTTCTCTTCAAAGGGAACAGAGTGCTCTCAGGGAGGTAGGGAATAAATGTAGAAGAGATATGCCCCCACCCGCTGCTCACCCAGGAAATCAATGCCGTTTTCATCTTACCCACCTTCCTGTAGCTGCACTATTTTGGAGGATTTCTGTTCCTGAGTTGATTCTTCTGTCAAGTGAGATTCTTCTGTCAAATGATGACCATTAGGTCATCATAAGTGGCTTGAAAAATTGGGAACTTATTAATTAGTTTCTGTGATTCTCCCTCTACTTGTTATGCAATATCAGTGAGTCTTTAAAAGAGAGGGAAAAGAAAGCAGAGGGGAGCTGATAGGTCCTGGTGGTTGGACTTTCTGTAGATAAGAAGGGCTATGGACCTATCTGTGGCCTAGAAGGCAATGTAGTCTCTGATGAGTAGGAAAGGAACAATCTCTGAACTTCATACTTCTACTGTGACTTACCTGGATCCTTCTGGAAGTGTCCATTTCCTTTGGAGTATTGTTCTGGATTTGGTAGATAATCAGGCCTGGGATTGCAGTCATGGTTTTATCATCTAGATCATGGTGACTTCTGTTAGGGCAGTGGTCAGTTGATGACCTCAAGTCTAGAATCATTGAGCATCCTGGTCCTGGCCTTAACTCCAGGCCTTAACATGGCCTAAGAAACTTAGGCTCTGGGAAAATAGACCAGGGCTTGCTAGACAAATGCATGGCTGACCCTGCATTAAAATGGAAAGGGTTCAGCCACCAGGCCTTTCAGGTTTGGAGATTTACCCAGATCCAGAGTGAGCTCATATACTTCCTGAGGAAGGAACAAACTCACTCTTTGCTCAGCCATCTCAGATAGCCTGTTGGAGTGGTCCTTGGAAACAAAGCTGGTTTTGCGGCCCTGGTAGCCCTGGTGGTCCTGACCCTACATGTAGACTATTTTGGAAAGGGGAACAGGGTGATTGGTACCCTCCTAGCAGACGTTGTCCTTTGGTTTGAGTGGCCAACCTGGGATGTTCTAAACTAAAAAGCAGGACCTAGCAATTACAGGATTCTGGGAGCTGGGCTGTGAACTGCCCAGTTGTTCAGAGCACCTCTCCCTCTCCTCCACGTCCCTTAAGGTTTAGCTGGCATTTTCTCTGGGTTCCCTGCTATAGGACTGAATCTACTAACCTCTCTGCCTTTTTTTCTGCTCTTTCTCTCCTTGCAGAAGGAAAGCGAGGAGCCCTTCAGGTTGTGCCTTTGGCCTTTTGGGCCTTTTTGTTGTCTATTTTCTATCCTGCCCTCCAGGGTGTGGTGTGTGTGTGTGCCTCTGAGCTTTGGCTGGTGGCAGATAGTCTGTTTTTCCTGAAAGCAGTTCGTGTGCATGCCCCATGCTTGTGTGTGCTCCTGCAGACATCCCCAGAGCACAGTGTGAGAACATGTGTGCCAGCATGGTGCACATTCAATGTAGCATGTGTGTGCTTACACTTGTACTCAGTTTGACTCCCCTAGGCACTGATTGCCCTCTGACTCTCCTATTCTGCACAGTGTGTGTCCAGTTTCTACTTGTTGCTGCAGCCTGGCATATGCTGTAAACTGTCTCTGAGCCCAGCATGCATATTCACTTTGCATTTGAGAACAGGAGTTGCTGCAAGCACTTGGTGCCTCTTGCCTGGGCCCCTAAGTGTGAATGTGCTGCTGAGCAGATTTCCTGGCCTCTCTGTGAGCACAAGCTTCTGTAGACCTGTGATGTGGTTCCCTATGCCATGTGAATGCGTACTCTACTAATGCTCTGTGCTTGCAAGCACTGGTTCTTGAAGACTGGGAGGGTTTGCTTTGCCTGTGATTTGGGCCCTGGCAAACACTGAAGCCTCTCCCAAATGGGTGTGTGCATATATTCTATAGCCCTCTGTGCAGGATCCACGCTCACCTCGTGTATCCCTCAGGCACAAGTTGTGTGTTTGAATGAACCGCCTGTGGGTACTTTTTGAGACCTCCTTCCACCCCTTGCCCCTCCTTCAGTGCACTGTGTGCACATGCTGTGCGCTGTGTCTGCAGGCTTCTGCAGACCCACTGTATCCTGTAAGCTCAGGAAATGCCTGTGATCTGAGCCGGTAAACTCTGGTTCCCAAAGATTTTTTTTCTAGGTAGAAAATAAAAATCTGCTCAGTATAGTAACTGCTTCCAAAGGGAAAAGATGTTCTGGTTGGAAAGATCTGGGGATTTAGGGATGGCTGCCACTCACAAGCAACCTTAGGAGACTTGCTTCAACCATTCCAGGCTGCCTTTTGGGTCTGGCACTTTCCTTACCAGTGTTCCAACTGCAGACAAGGACAGAAGGCAGATAGACTTGATCAGAGCACAGACGACCTGGGAAGGGTTTTACTGAGAAGGGTCCTAAATCCAAAGTTCATTTTGAGCCTACAGCCCACTTTTACATCAGCCATTAACCTGTCCCCCTCTTCCTTTTGTACTGTGTCTTGCCTTATTTGTCTGTAACTTTTACCTTTAGCTCTCCCACAACTTCACTCCATGTCCAAAGCAACTTACTTCTGACTACCCCATAATGGCACTTGTTTGCTTTGGGGTAGTTAGTGGGAGCCCAGGTCTCAGGTGGCAAGGAAGTTGTTGGGGGCAAGGGGAACAAGGTAGGGCAGGATGCCCCATACCTGCTGGCACTAAGTCCCTCGAACCCAAACAGCATTTACCGTTGGTTCTCTGGACAGCCCTGGCAGCTTTGGAACTCTCTATATACTGCCTGAAGAATTTGCTTTTTTTTTTTTTTCCTGTGAAGAAACCTTTAAAAATGGTTTTGACCTGTTCCTTCCTTGAATTATTTGGTACCTCAGTGATCAACTTCTCATTAGAGAACTCATAAAATTCACCGGAGTGATAATCCAAGTGTCTAATCTGTCCTGGCTTCTCTGATTATATAGAATTTGTCAGATGTAGAGTGTACTCACTGTCAATGAGTTCAGGCTTCGAGGCACCGAAGCCAAATCAAATCACAAGGTGAGATAGGAATTTTTTTTGAAAGACCAGGTCTGACTCTGGGGCAGCCAGAGGAATTCAGGACTATAGCTGGAAGACCAGACTTTATATGAAGTTGTCTTTTTCCTTTAATGAGTGAGGCCTGGAAGCCCACGTGGACCCTTTTCCTGGCTTTTGTTGCAGTTAATATACTAATTGGTTGTGTGAGGGAGATATTGGTTCCAGCAGCTCTTACAGGTCCAGTGGACTTTAACCCTGGGACCTCAGGGCGCTGGGCCTGTATCCTTCCTACTCACTAGGGACAGGGAGGTGAAGTGCTGCTCATTTCAGCAGCCTGCTTGTTGCCTGTGCTAATCAGGGCACTGGCTTAGACATCCGGCTAGCTGTGTCAGCACGTCGTGTGTGTGACCTACACTTCTCTCAGCTTCCTATTCCATTGTTCACAGCCTGACCAAAGAAAGATGGCCATCTCCCTTCTTTCCTAGGATCTAACTTTTTTCTGTTTTTAAAGATTCCAGATGATGGCGACTCCTCTTTGCCCCAGTGGCTCCCAGAAGGGTAAGTGATTCCTTGCCAGGTTTTTGTGGATTTTGTACACTCTCACACTGCCTTTAGCTTTTCCCCTGGGAAATAGGAAAAGCAGCTTCATAAGCATAATCCTGGGGAAAGAAGATGTTCCACTGTGGAAACTGGTTGGTTCTCTGGGACAGAGAAGAGAATTCTGCAAACTGATTACTTAGAGGCAGAAGACAGAACTTTGCCAAGTGGTTCTATGGTGCGGGGGAGGGAGCTTGAGGGCTCCCCCATTCTTGCCTCTGGAATTGCTGATCCATGGCATCGTAGTGGTGATACTCTTTAGGCAGAAGAATGAGGAAACCAGAAAACTATCTGCATTGGAAGAGTTCCTTTCCATTCCATTGTTGTTAGTATGTAGCTGATAAAATTTCTCCCTGGGCTCTGTCCTGCTTCAGCTGTTGTGAGTCATGTCCTTATTCTTTCACTCTAGTCAAGACATAAGTAGAATGCCTATGAGCTCAGTGTGTTCCGTTTCTGATTCTTGTCTGGGAGTTTCAGGCCCATGTGCTTGCAGCAAAGAGTCATTTTAAGCTGCTCAACTGCTGCTTGTAACTAACTGACTGTTCTTAAGAGAGAAAAGAGTTTGAGCGCTTCTCTGCCCCCACTCCTCCCACATACACTGCCAATTACTAGTCAGAATCTTTCTTCTCTCCTTGTCCCACAAAGGCCTTCTGACATTAGGATTCCCAGTGGCTGCCTCCTCTCCCTTATGACCAGAGAAGAAAAATATATCAGATCATAAAGTTATCTACTACATTTTTACCTGTTCCTTTTCCTTCTTGTGATTTGTCCTGTAAATCAAGAGTTAATAGTGTACATGAACTACCCTTTCTTCTTTTGTCAAAAGCTCATTTGTATTGCAAAAACTTCTTGGTCTAAGTGGCACAGATTATAGTTTTCAGCATTAACCACAAACTTGAGGCACCAGTTGCTTCTTCAATAGCCATTCTTCAGGGCTTTAGCTTTTTTCCTCAATACTTGTAAAATATATGCATGCCAATGGAACGTATCTGAGCTATTTTTAAACGGAGCCACCCAGTGATTTTCTAAATGCCTCCCTGTTATCGTCTTTCCTTCCCTCAGCTTCGTGTTTGGAAGCTGCCACAAGTTTAGAGCTTTCCTAGGTCTGGTAGTCTCATTGAAAACAAAGTTCGCTGCCTGTGCTCAGGAAGCTCCTTATTAGACATTAACGTAGCAAAAGTCGCCTGTTCCAGCTCCTGTCCTTGACTTAATTTGTGGCTCCATTCTTTGCCTATAGCATTAAAACCAAGTACATAAATTCTTTTCATTGAGGCTCAGAATGGCAGCTTCCAAAAGGTCAGAAATTTTTTTGTTCATCCCCCTCATTTTATACAAGTGACATCAAGACCCAAAAAGAGAAGGGAATTTTGGCAGAGGACATGTAGAAAGTTAGTGAAATTGTTAGGTATAAAATCTGGGTTATCTCATGTGAGAATGGTGTTATTTTGGGGGACATTCTCTGTATTTTTATGGCATATTATTATGGAAGAACAGGCAAAGAACAATAAAGTTAATGGCATAGATAGGGTATAAAACTTTTAGAAATCTCCAGTTGCTCCAGCTATAGTTTTTTCTTGGTCCCTATTGATGCGTCCACAGGGCTAGGCCAGGTACTCAGAGTCCTTTTGCTGTTTCTTTCCTAAATGGTCTTGCCTTCCCCCTTTAAATGGTCCTCTAGAAGTCTCTCATCACACCTCCCCTGACTCCATTTTATTATGTGGTCTGCTCTCTTCACGGAGAATCTTTTTCTTCAGGAGGCCTGGATAGATAGTGGCTCCTTCAGTCAGAGTGGAGAAGATCTCCTTGTACCTGTCATTACTTGGTAGTCTTGCTCACCTCGGCAGCAGCTCCTCTGTAGAGCTATTCCTATGGGCTCTGTCTAGCACAGGCCAGGAAAGACTTAGCTTTGGTGGCAGCGTCTCTAACCTGAGTGTGGAGAAGATCCCTCTTAACCATCAATTCCCACCCTGCCTTATGGAGCAGAAGGTCCTTCAGAGAAACAGAGGTGCCTTGAACTGTCACTGTGGGATAAAAGAGCACTAGATCTCTGGCTAAAACCACAGAAGGAGACAGATAGGGGCACTCTGAGAGCAGATCCCATTCTTCATCATCCCATGGTTTTATTTCCCTCATTATCTTCCTTTCCTCCTGTCTTCCTTTCCCCTCTCAAAGGCACGGCTTACTCTGGGGAGAAGGTGAGGAAGGAAAATTGACAAGACTGAGAGTTCTGACATATTTCCTTCCCTCCTCAGGCCAGCTGGAGGACTCTATGGCATCGACAGCATGCCAAATCTACGCAAAAAGAAGCCACTGCCACTTGTCAGCGATCTGGTGAGTGAGGCTCTTGTGCAGATTTAGGCTGTATCCTGGGAGTATCCACCATTAGGCCTTGGCAAGCTATCAGAAGTGGTAGTGGTCCATTTTGTGACAAGTATGGGCCTGAAGATCCATCATTTAAAGAATGACTGAGACTTAGTGATGGCTTCAGTGAGACTTTGTTTTACCTCACTCCCTGTTTAGAACCAAGGTTCTTCATAAGCTCAAGCTCCCACTTGGAACATATATGGCTTGGACCCTCAAGGCTGGGCACTGTGGTTGTCTTCTAGGAATCTAGTTCTTCTAGGTATCTCTACAGACTTTTTTGATGACTTAGAATGGACACTGCCTCTAGCTTTGACCTAGATCATTGAGCTTAGTATGTGATGAGCATGGCTGGTACAGCTTCTTTTTGGAGGTTTAGTGACAGCCTCCTCCCAAGGTATGGGCTTTCTAGACTATCTCTGTGCCTGTAGTTCTTAAATCAGTGTCTGGCACTGAGAAGTATGATAAAAAAAATTGTGGAATTGAATTGAAATGGGCTTAGGAGTTAAAGCTGATCTCAGGACCTCCAGGATGATCAACAGCATTTTGGGTTATACTTCCTGAGGCAGGATCAGCTCAAGAAATTTTTCTTAACAGAGGATGGAGAGGGATCCCAGCCTCGCCCAGAGCTAGGTGTTCAGTAAGACACGAACCCCTTTTCTTGCTACCATTTCTGCTCCTGTTTTCTCTTTTTCTCTCCCTTTTCAGTTTTTTCTGTCCACCTCTTTTCTTGTTTCTTCTTCATTCTCTGCTATCCCCCCCCCACACACACACACACCAGTTTCTTTCTCCTTAATTAGCTGAATGGAAATATCCTCTGCCATTTTCTCTTAATCATTTTTTCCCTTACTATTTGCACCTCTTTTCATACCAACTCTTCATCAAATCGTTTGGATAAAGATAAATTCTAATGTCATCTCTTCTTTTTTACCTTCTTTCATTGTATTCTATCTCCCCTTTTTTCTTTTCCTCATTTATTTTCTCCCTATTTTTTCTCATCCTTACTCCCTCTAGCCTACCACATCCTCTTTGCTTAAATGCTTGGACAGCAATGTCTTGTTTATTTCTTATTTCCCCTCCTCCAACTTTTGACCTTGCCTCACTCTGGCATAAGTCTTCTCAGAGTAGGAGCTTGAGGCCTGGGCCCTGGCCAGCTGTCTGAATTGAAGCCAGTTTTTAGTAGATAGAGGCAGAGGGGTTTGGGACGTGTTCCCTACATTGGACTATAGGGAAGAACCTCTTAGTTGCCACTGAAGGTTTTTTTAATGCCCTTGGGGGACCTTTAACATCATGTTGTTCCTTTTTCTGCTCTCCTCTGTGCAGGCAATGGTGAGTGTCTCCAGAGCCCCTTTCCAACCTCTGTAAGAGTCCATATCTCACCTGGCACCCGCTAAGTGTTCCTTCTTCTTAGACTGATATTCTGATTCTGTCTGCCCAACGTCCACTGCGTTAGGGAGACCATGTGCCTCCCACAGGGTGCCTCTAAAGCTTGGGCCTGGCCGATATGTGGGGCCCCTCTATACAAGAGACCGGCTAGCAGGGCAGCCCTACCTCTCATACTTAACCCCTTGCCCTGCTTGATTTGACTGAGGGTACATTTCCCCTTTCACTTGGCCTAGTCCCCTGCTTATTTGAGCTGCTGACCTTCACAGGCACCTGGGATTGTGTGGGCATGGGGTGGTGCCAGGGGGTAGACGATGGCATGGAATCATTCTCAGGGATGATTCTTGAATGTAACTCTGACAGAGTTGTGTCTTTATTCTGTTCTTAGTAACCTACTTCCTACTGTAATTCTAAACTTCTCATTTTTTCTTTGCCTTTCTATAGACGGGTTAAGATACTTAAAAAATGTGAATAAAAGAGAAACTCTTTGGATGATAGGTACCCTGAGAGAAGTGCTGTTCTAATATTGGTAGAACAGTCCTCTGAGGACCTTGGGTTTGGGATCTTAACTGGGGATGCTGTTCTCTATTACCTGTGGGCAGTCCCTGTGAATGACAGTAAAAACAGAAGGCAGTAAGTTACCATCAGTTTGTTTTGGATCCTGAAACTCCCTTCTCAGGACTCTGCCAGTCCTTGGTGGCAGCCAGGGCTGACAGCAGGTCTTCTCTTACAGTCATTGGTCCAGTCCCGGAAGGCAGGGATTACTTCTGCAATGGCTACACGCACCTCTCTCAAGGATGAAGAACTGGTAAGTGACCCATGGGCTTTCATGAATCCACTGGCCTAAAGATCTGGCCATCCACTGGTGATCAACTCTATAGCCATACTAACCGGGAATTCTAAAGTGTTGAGCATACATAGGTAATGGAACAGATAGATAGTACCAAGTCTCAATCTTCCACACTGGGAGAGGCAAGGGTCCTGGCCAGGGGTTAGCCTAAGTCTCATGTGGGAGTATGTTACTACTAAACTTGAGGTATTATAGTGGACCTAGTACCCTCTGTTTTCCCAGAAAGCTGGAAGCCTGAGGCAAGACTCAGACCCAGTGTTCAGCTCAGACCTATCTTGCACAACCAGGAACACACAACATTTGGGGGCTTCTTTCTGCCAGGCCGGGCTATGGGCTGGGCTAGTCTAGAGCATTCCTCTACTACCAGAGGAGAAACCAGGGTCTTGATTGTTCTACAGGGTCTCAGTTCTGCTATCTCCCAGCAGAGGCTGAAAATCGCTGGTGGGTGATGGGGAACATGTCTTTCAGAAATCCCATGTGTATAAGAAAACCCTGCAGGCCTTAATTTACCCCATCTCGTGCACCACACCACACAACTTTGAGGTCTGGACTGCCACCACCCCAACCTACTGCTATGAGTGTGAAGGCCTGCTCTGGGGCATTGCCCGGCAGGGCATGCGCTGCAGTGAGTGTGGAGTCAAGTGTCATGAGAAGTGCCAGGACCTGCTCAACGCCGACTGCCTGCAGCGTGAGTACCCCTGCGGGATGAGGGGTGGGGAGCACAGGCAGCAGGCCCTCTCCAAAGTAGTCTGTCAGCCAAGAGCTGGGGTAGCTGGACATCATTCCTCTGATCTACCTGATTCTGAAGCTCTTTCCTTTTCAGAGAATGTAGAGTCCTGAGTCAAGGGGCAGCTTTCCAAATAACAGGTTTTATAGCACTCTTAAGCACCTTTAGGAAAAATTCTTTGAGTTTATCATGGCCCTTAAGGATTCAGATGGTCTCAGAGACTGCGTTTGAGAAGTGCACACACCACAGTGGCTGCAAAGTCCAAATTACTTGAGCATGTTTAACCCGGGACCAGAACTAATGAGGAAAGAGAGTTCTGTGAGGTTCTAAACCTCCAAGAGGAATTTTCTGAGGTCTAGACCATGGGATCCAGGGGAGACAGCATTTATTCCTTGCTTATAGATGCAGCTTTTATACAACAGTGCCAGGAACAGAAATGTCCAATGGATCAGGCAGAGGTCCTGGAGGAGAATGTGCCAGATTCCCAAGGCCCTGACTAAAATATCTGATTTGTGATGCCATCATGGAGTGGTGGAGGGGAAAGAGGAGAGAAGCAAGAACACCAAATTTCTGTCTTGTTGGGTTTTTTTTTTTGAGGTGGTAGCACTCTAAGTTGTTGTCTCCTTGCTCTGCTCCTGCTGGACCCAGGGGTGGGGATATGGGAAAGTGTTTTCTCACTCTCCCAGCTCTCCCAGGTGTCACTCAGAGCCAAGCCAGAGCAACCAAAGCTTTAAGTATTGTGGTAGGAGAAAGGAAGGTCATCTTTAGACTCACAAGCATTTCATTATCTCAAGGAAAGATATACGACATGAAAGGGGCCTAGGGAGAGGCCTCAAGGAACTGTTCACCTAAGATGGCTCTCCATTTGAAGAGCCCTCAATTGGTGTCAGTAGCGTGACTCTGACAGTAGACATTAAGAGACAGGTAGAACAAGTCAGTGGAAGAGATGGGGCTCTGCAAAGACTGTCTTAAGATGAATGCTGATGATGACTTTGCCAAGACCCATCGTGAGGGGGTGATAAGCACAGGTGCCATCAGGTCCTTGCTTTAATTGCTAGCAGCCACGCTGGCTGCTTGCTGGAAACCTTCTGAGATGTTGCTGTGTAGCAAAGATGTTGATCTTCTCCTCAAGGGCCTTTTAGAAGTTCCACTCCAAGGAAGCAGCATTGCATGGGATACGCTAAATGGATGCAGCCCAGGTCAACTTTCATTTACCAGCAAATATCCTCTGCCTAAGCCTTCTGTGAAGCTCAGGGTGAAATGAAATGCCCTTTGATGGGCCTCCCTGGACAGAAAACCTGCTTGCCTTCCTCCCACGGTTAGGATGCATACGTTGGCCTTTATTTTTTGCTACAGGTTTTGTACTAAAGGCCTAAGTCTTTGGAGACTAGAGAGAGATAAGAGACAAAAATCAGTCTGCAGGGCAAAAATAGCTGAAGGATAGTGTCTTTCTGAGAAGCCTGGGTGATGAAATAGAGTGAGGTAGTCTGTTTTCTGTCATAATTTTCAGGGCAGTAGGCAAAGCCTGCTAGTCTTTGAGATGAGCTGGTTTGCTATACCCACCAAGATAATAATGATGGTAGTAAAAATAATAGTGACCATTTATTGAGTGAGTGCTAGGTACAAGGCATTGAACCAGATGCTTTATACATGTTGATATAATGTTTCATATCACTCTGAGAAATAAGTGCTATTTTCTTCTCTTAAAAGAAACCTGTTTACCCAGCTAGTAGCAGTGGAGTCAGTATTTGAACCTAACTCTGTTACCTAGCTTTATCTGGCCATACTTTTATTACCATACCACACTATTTTTTTTGTGATTAAAGGCACTGGACCCATGGGGTAGAACCTGACTCTGTGCTGTGACCAGTTCTGGGGTCTGTATCATGGTTTGGAAATTGGATGAAGTGGGTGGAGTTGTCATGCCCATCCACCACCCCTCCATAATAATTGAGATAGCCATTGGTGATATTTGGGCCTTAGACTTGAAAGGTGTCTCTCAACTACTATCTGGACAGTAGATGACGAAGAAAGACAAAGCCAACTGCAGACTGAGCTACATTTTTCTTTCTTTCTTTTTCAATGAAAAATCCAACGTATACCTCAATAGAATAAGAACAACCCCCCATAACATTCATCAAGTTTTTACTACCCTTTGAAATGCATTTGAAACTTTAGCAGGCCCCAAGAGTGGTTACTTTTTCCCAGAAATATCCTGGTCTTCCTAAACTTCTACTCCTCAGTGACTGCTGGCAGACTCCATTCCTCAACCTGACACTTAGTCTTGCTGATGGTCTGTTGGTTATCTCCCTTTCTGTCTCTGGCCATCCTTCAGGGGCTGCAGAAAAGAGCTCTAAACATGGAGCTGAGGACCGGACCCAGAACATTATCATGGCCATGAAGGACCGCATGAAGATCCGAGAGCGGAATAAGCCAGAGATCTTTGAAGTTATCCGGGATGTGTTTGCTGTGAGCAAAGTTGCCCATGTGCAGCAGATGAAAACAGTGAAGCAGAATGTGCTGGATGGCACCTCCAAATGGTCGGCCAAGATTACCATCACTGGTGAGCAGGCCAAAGTGTAAGGAGACAGGAAGGCCTAGGCTATGGGGAGGAGCCTGGTGAAGAAGCCTTCTGAGTGTAAGGGAGCAAGGGGCTGGGGACAAAGAAGACAGAACTGAGGGAAAGAGGCCCTCATTAGGCCCTCCTCATTCATCACTCTCCCTCTCCTAAGCCATGGTGCTAGGGGAGTTGGGAAAGGTAAGACTGGTACCTGCAAACAATATGACTGATAATAGAAGTATTTGGTAACAATCTAATATTATAGACTTGGTTAACAATCTGATAATACAAGAGCTGGGGGATGTGGGAAAGGAGACTGGTAGGAGATCAGGGAATAGTTAACCTGTGTTTACTAGCAGGGTGGGTGTGGCCGAAGCATGCATATGTCAGGGGAGGTAAGGGCCAGTTTAGGGGTAAGTGGTCATTTAGGGCTTTGACAGGGACCTGGGAGTCTTGGGCTAGTCTTTGAAGGAAAAGCTGGTGGCTTAGGTCTAAGGATAGTTTTGGAGGACTGAGATTAGGGTTCCTGTGCAAGAAGCAAAGAGAAGCTTCTCTAAGATGGAGAACATATGAGGCATGTTATGGAGGATTTCTCACCTCTGGAGCGTACTCTGAAGTCTCCTCCTCTATGCATTTGGGTTGCAGTGGTGTGTGCCCAGGGCCTACAAGCCAAGGACAAGACAGGATCCAGTGACCCCTATGTGACTGTGCAAGTGGGCAAAACCAAGAAGCGTACCAAGACCATCTTTGGGAACCTGAATCCTGTTTGGGAGGAGAAGTTCCATTTGTAAGTCACAGAGGTCTTTGTTTTACCTGGAACTATGTGTATTTGGAGAGCAGCACTAAATCCTGTTATTCTGGGCTTGGCCCCTGAAAGGTATGGGATGGAGGCAGTAGAGAAAACCCATTTTTCACGTGCTTTAATTGTGCAGCGGCCATTTTATTTTTTCTGGGTTTCTTCTCATGGACTGTTGGGGTAAGGTTACTTTACCCAAGCCCTGTCTTAACTAGGGCTATTCAAGGGGCCTCTGGATACTTCATACTGCTTTTTCTAGCACTAGAAAGATTTTTCTTTTTTTTTTGAAATAATATTTTATTTTATGTATTTTTTATTTTTTAATTGATTATGCCATTACATTTGTTCTATTTCCCCCCCTCCATTCCCTTCCACCCTGTACACCCCTTCCCCACCATTCCGACCCCCTTTAGTTCATGAATACGTGTCTCAAGTTCTTTAGATTCTGTATTTCCCATACTATTCTTACCCTCCCCCCTATCTATTTTCTATCTACCATCTATGCTACTTATTTTCTGTACCTTCTCCCCCCTTATCCTTCTCCCACTCCCCTGTTGCTAATCCTCCACGTGATCTTCATTTCTATGGTTCACTCCTGATCTAGCTGTCCTCTTAATTTGCTTTTGTTTTAGGTGTGGTTGTTGATAACTGTGAGTTTGCTGTCCTTTCACTGTTCACTTTTTTATCTTCTTTTTCTTAGGTAAGTTCCTTTAACATTTCATATAATAAGGGCTTGGTAATGATGAACTCCTTGAATTTGGTCTTATCTGAGAAGCACTTTATCTGTCCTTCCATTCTAAATGAAAACTTTGCTGGATAGAGCAATCTTGTTTGTAGGTCTTTGGTTTTCATGACTTGGAATACCTCTTTCCAGCCCCTTCTTGCCTGTAAGGTCTCTTGAGAAATCTGCTGACAGTCTGATGGGAACTCCTTTGTAGTTGACAGTCCCCTTATCTCTTGCTGATTCTAGGATTCTCTCCTTCGTTTTAATCTTGGCTAATGTAATGATGATGTGCCTTGGTGTGTTCCTTGTTGGGTCCAACTTCTTTGGGACTCTCTGAGCTTCCTGGATTTCCTGGAAGTCTATTTCCTTTGCCAGAATGGGGAAGTTCTCTTTTATTATTTGTTCAAATAAGGTTTTCACTTGTGACTGTTCCTCTTCCCCTTCTGGTACTCCTATAATTCGAATGTTGGAACATTTAAAGATGTCCTGGAGGTTCCTAAGCCTCTCCTCATTTTTTCGAATTCTTGTTTCTTCATATTTTTCTGTTTGGTCATTTTTTTCTTCCTTCTGGTCTACTCCTTGATTGGAGTCCCAGTTTCCTTCCCATTACTATTGGTTTCCTGTGCATTACCATTCATTTCCATTAGTTTAGCCTTCATATGTTCCTCTAATTTGTGACTAAAATCAACCAGTTCTGTGAGCATCCTGATCAGCAGTGTTTTGAACTGTACATCTGAAAGTTTGGCTATTTCTTCATCACTTAGATTTATTGGCTCTGAGGCTCTGAGTTGTTCTTGAGCCATGTTTTTATCTGTTTGTGCCTATTACGTATGAGGAGTGGAGCCTTAGTTGTTTACCAGGGTGGGGCCACCCAGGTCGCAGGTTTGTGACGCTGTATGTGGGGGCGGGGTCAGAGAGGGAGCAGTGGCGGTCCTCTCTGCTCGCCCAGTCCATCCCACCGCTCGCCCCAGCCTGTTTATCTGAGCGGAAATGTGTGAGCCTCCGCCCTGCGCCCTGCGGTCTCAATGCTCACCTCTTCACTGGTTTATCTGCACACAAATGCTCCACCGACTGCAGACAGCCAGCTGCGCCTCTTCTCTGTGTCCGCCCGTAGCTAGCCCGCACCTGGGATCCGCGCCTTCGGCTGCTTGTGCACCACCCGGTCGGGGATATTTTTGGCCAACCCGTTTTGCTGCTGGCTTTGCCCCTCTCACCGGTTTAGCTGAGCATTTCGTTGTTGTCAGACTCCGTATTGTCGATTTTCTGTGTGGTTTAGTTGTGTTTATTATTGTTAAAACTTTGTTGTTTTTAGATTTGGTTGTGCGAGGACGCAAAGTGTTTCCATCTGTGCCTCCATCTTGGCGGAAGTCTCCCAGAGGAGTCTAGAAAGATTTTTCTACTGCTCAGTGACAACCAGAGACTGACCACCATGTTGTGTACCTCTTGGCACTGCCATCCTGCGTAGGAAGTGTTAGGCTCTTCTGGGGAGTGGGGAGGGAATGTCGTTGTCCTATAGCTGGGTAATTCTGGCTTGAAGGAAGAAATCTGTGGTCTGGAGAAGTTTCCATTTCACCTGAAAGAATTATTCTTTTCTTTCTGTCTCAGCTTCCACCCCAACCCCCTAATTCTTTTTCAGTGATCTCACTTTAAGGAATGGTTGTCGAAAGCTCTAGCCTAGGACTTGAACTAATATCTGGAGAATCTAGATGCCTTGTCACACTCCTAAGGCTCAGGAAAGAAATAAGGGCCAGGCTTTGAGTCTCAGTGAGCTAAGCAGTCTGGCCATGTAGATCCTTCTGTTGGCTTCTAGGAGAAACCATGTGAAAAGAGTTTGGGGCCTGGTAAAATCACCCTCCAATCCAGAGATAATAGTTACTGGGGGAGCACTTATTTCTTTGAGAATCTGAATGGTTCTTGCTTGTGATCTATTCTAAATGAATTTACCTTGTAGTCAATTTCCCCCACATTTATCCCTTTAGTAAACTGTTCATTAAGCCCCTATTTTGTACCAGACACTGTACATGATGTTTTGTATCTAAAAATTAGTGAAACAATCAGTCTCCGGCTTCAGCAATCTCACTGTTGATTATTTTTCAGTATCCCAATAGTTATACTATTATATTTTAATGAATGTACAAAGATTTCATGAGAACCCAGAGAAATGAGCAATAAATTCTGCCAAGGACAACTTTTGGGTGAGGCAACAGGACCCAAAAAGCACCCATTGGGGAAAAAAAGGTAGAGGGGGTAACCTAGGCAAACTCCCTTCTCTAAAGCTAACACCATAAAGGAAATAGCAATTCAAGTGGGTATCAAAGAATGGCAGAAGTTCACCAAGCACATGTTAGATAGATGGAGAAGGTAGATAAAAAGCTAAGCAGAGATGCAAGATGGACATACCATGAACATTAACACCTTTAGTAACTCCGAAGAGGAAACTAATAGTTGCTTCATAGAGTTCTGTAGCATCTGTCCAGCTGTTTTCTTCTTGGTGCTATTGATACAGCTAATTACTCTTCCCCTTCCTTTTTTTTTTTTTTTTTTTTTTTGTTCCAAGGCAAAAAAAAAACAAAACTGGATAATGGTATACACAGCCACCAGGCTGAGGAATGAAGAGCCATTTGCTGGGATAGCTTGACTCACTTGGAACTTCAGTACCACCATTCTCTAACTGCTTTTCCGCCTCTGCAAGGCCTCCAGTGAAGTTGATAGAACTGTGGGAGGGAATTGGATTGGGGGCTATTGGGTCCGTCCCTAACAGAACCTGCCTAATTCTCTCACAGTGAGTGCCACAACTCTTCTGACCGCATTAAGGTACGTGTGTGGGATGAGGATGATGACATCAAGTCGAGAGTAAAGCAGCGGCTAAAGCGTGAGTCTGATGATTTCCTTGGCCAAACCATCATTGAGGTTCGGACACTGAGTGGCGAGATGGACGTCTGGTACAACTTGGGTAAGGAAACAGGACCAGAGAAAGTTGGTGGGAAGGGAGAGCATAAATAAGGAACTCGGGGAGAATCCTTTCACCAAAGCCACCACTCAATTGCTATAGCATACTTCTATACAGAGCCTGCCTTGCCTGTAGAGAGTTGACCATGGGTAGAGATGGGGGACAGAGGAGTGTGGGTGGCTGGAACTCACTCTGGCTGCAGGTTTTCCAGATTTCAGAAGGCCCTTTAATCTCCCTGCTCATCCCTAATGCTTTTAACTCCCTATTCAGCTAATGGAATAGGAGAATTTCTACAGGAACTATTTAAGGTGTTTGTGTCTGTGTGTTCACTGGAGTAAGTCTATCCTGTTAGGTGAACCCTTGGGTCAGTGCCTTCTTTTGTGTGGGTTAAGCCAGGATGGGGACTGTCCATGCTGTCTGTAGTTGCATTGGTGTCAATTTCCAGTCTTCTTTCCTTCCTAGAGAAGAGGACAGACAAATCAGCCGTCTCAGGGGCTATCCGACTGCAAATCAGTGTGGAAATCAAGGGCGAGGAGAAGGTAGCCCCGTATCACGTGCAGTATACATGTCTCCATGAGGTGAGTCAGCCCTTGGTATAGGTGGGTGGCTGGAAAGCAGTGCTGGGAATAAATTATAAATTTGCTAACAAATATGATTGCTTGATGGTTGAAGGTCTGGGGCCTGTTTTTTATTTTGTTCTTGGCTCATTGTGCTACTAGACAGCCCAAGTAACAGTCCCAGCCTCAGTTCTCATTCACTAATGTGAGAATAGCCTGCTGGGGCCATAGAAGGAACTGAGCAATGACTTAAAGTACAGACTTTCTGTGGAACTCTGGACTTTACCAGCAGATTTTGTTTTTAATATATATATTTATATTTAACTCTTTCCTTTGCTCTGTCTCCTGCAGAACCTTTTCCATTACCTCACAGACATTCAGGGAGGTGGAGGAGTCCAGATCCCTGAGGCTCGAGGAGACGATGCATGGAAGGTGTACTTTGATGAGACTGCCCAAGAGATTGTGGATGAATTTGCCATGCGCTATGGCATTGAATCCATATATCAAGCCATGACGTGAGACTTCCTTGGGGCTTTGGGAAGTGGCTACTCACCCTTGGGGTGGCTAATGAAGGCACACTAACAGGGTAAACAGGTCCTTAGTGGGGTAACATAGAGTGATCCATTGCTTCCCTCTCTGAGCTGAGTGAGGTGGGTGTATGCCCTAAGGCGAAGAAGGTGTATGTATAAAGGGAATGTTAATCAATAACTCAGGAAGAAGGTATTTGTCTGTCTACCTCAGGGTTCAGGGACAGGGAGGGAAAAGGGCACCAGAGGCTATGCAAGGACAAACTGCCTAAGCATCACAGGCCTGAGGAGACAGAGCGTGTGTGCTCATGTACACATGTGTAACAGACAAGCTTTCATAGACTGGCCTGGATGTCAGGGCATGTAACCATAGGGGAAGCAGCTGAGTGTGGAGTTGACCGAGACTCCTGTAACAGAAATTCCCATCTACTATGAGAAGAGGTAGTTTGTCTATTGGTGAGGCTGCACAGGAAGCAGCCCTAGGTGAGCAGAGGGTAGTTATTGCCCTGGCTGCACTCATTTATTCTGCAAACTCTTACTGAGTTCCTTCTATGTGTCACATTGTGCCAGGTGCTGAGAACACAGATGAGTAAGATGGGGCCTCTGTGCTTGGGGGACTCCAGCAGGAGAGACGAATCAGTAAACAAACAATTACAATATAATGCAATAAGTGCTGTGGTAGAAGTAATCACAGGGTATTATGAGAGCATCTAAATTTTACGGGAGGCCTGTGAGGGAATCCACTAAGGAGTTGACACTTGAACTTAATCTTTAAATGAAGAAAAGGATGGAGGGCATTTTTGAAAGGGCATTTACTGGGGAGCTAAGATACAACAGAGTGTAGAATATGCAATAAATTGCAAGAAGTTCATTATAGATGGAGAGAAGAAATATGGTGAGAAGTGAGGTTTAAGAATGGCCCCTCTGACACTCTTACTCTGTTCACTCCCCCCAGATGCTCCTATCCCAACCTGTGGGCTCAACCTACTTCCGGGTTAAGGGCTCCCAGATCACTTTCCCCAGATCAGGCCTTTTCCTGAATTTTAGATCCATTTTCAGCTGCTTCCTGGGTATCCCCATGGGCATAGTAAACTCAGCACGGCTAAGTTCCAAATCAACATTATCTCTGCCAAATAAGCTTATCTTCCCATATTTCCTATTTTAGTGAATGAATGATTTTCTATGCAGTTGTCCAAAAAACTTTAGGAGTCAGCCTAAGCTTTGCTTACTTACTACTGTACTTTTAACTGCCAACATCCAGTCTCTAAAACCTCATATTCCATCTCCTGAAAATGTTTTTAATCTATTGCTACTACTATAACTCAACAATAATAATGATAATAACAACTTCTATGTAGCACGTATGAATATTAACTTCTTTAATACTCATATTAACACTATGAGGTCAGTATCATTATTTTTCCCATTTTACAGATAAGAAAACTGAGGCATAGAGACCTTTAAGTAATTTACCCAAGGTCATTGAGTAAAGGGGTAGAGGTGAGATTCAAACCCAGAGTCTGACTCTAGAGGCTGTGCTCTTAACCATTTTTTTGTTCTGTTTAGTGTTTTATTGCTTCTTTTCTAAATTATTGCAGTAGCTCTTCAACCAATCTTTCTGTCTCAGTCTTTGTCCAAGTCTTCTTTTCCACTTTATCAGCAAAGTGATCTTTCTCAAATGCTGATCTGATCACACTATGCCTTTGTTTATAAATCTACTATAGCATTTAGGATTAACTCTTATTATCTATTCCCCACTTACTTCTCTCTCATTTCTTGGTGTTCCTCTATCAAACGCCCAAACACTAGCCAAACTGATGTTTCCCAAGTAACTCACTCTGTCATGAATATATTTGTCTTTGCATTGCAGTTTCCCTTTGCTGTGCATTTCTCCATTTGATTAGTTCTCAGTAATCCTTTAAGATTTGTTCCATCTGTATCTTCTTCAGGAAGCCTTTTTTCTAATCCCTTCCAGTCCCCAACTATTCTGCTTTAGGTTACTTTCCTGTATGTTTATGCAGTGCTTTTTGCATAGTACACCCTGGATTATTGATTTATTTTCTAACACTTGCTTTCTCTGCTGGGCTATTGCATCTTTGGAGTCTAGCACTTAGCGCAGGACCTGGCACAGAGTAGGTGTTCTTTGAATGTATATTTGAAAAAATAAACTATGAAGATCCTTGTATATCAACCTGATGGGAGGCTTCATACGTGTCTGTGAGATCTTTTAATTACTTGGCTTCTGCTGCAAGTCCTGAAGAGTCTCTGAGGCTGAGGGTGTTGTTTTTCAGGCACTTTGCGTGTTTGTCATCCAAGTACATGTGCCCTGGCGTGCCAGCCGTGATGAGCACCTTACTGGCCAACATCAATGCCTACTATGCCCACACAACCGCCTCCACCAATGTCTCTGCATCCGATCGCTTTGCAGCCTCCAACTTTGGGGTGAGTGTGATGTGAAATATATCTACCCATTTGTTATCAATGAACAAAGTTTGATTTTTCATGATCAATACTGTAGAGCTGGTTGTTAGGCCTAAAATTCAGATAGGTGCCACCCAGATAGGTGAGCTTTTTCCTTATGAGTATGTAGACTATGCTGATAGACTATTCTCATTTCATTATGGATATGTAGACTTACTAACAGACTCTCCTCAGACATGGATAAATGAGAGAAAAATAGTGTCACTGTGGTTCGGGGGCTCCACCTGGGCTCAAGTGGAACCTCTCTAGGCCAAGGATATGGCTGAGTCACCACATTTCCTAGTCCTGCAGATCCACAAGTGGACTGTCTATGTGTCACTCAGTCTCTCTCTGATGGATTTGTACCACTTACATTCATATGAGGCTGTTGTCTAAGCGAGGATACCAGTGTACATTCGAGCCTATTCCTTTTCCAGTGTCTGGACTGTTTCCCCTGTTTGGGTGTACCCTTTCCTATGTTAAAGTACTTGGGAAGTTGAATCTTTACTCAGAATGTCACCTGACATGACTTCAATATAAACTGGATAAAGTATCTTTGACCCCCCACAAAGATTTCCTCTTTAGGCACAAAATTACTGATAACCCCACATCTACTAGGTCTCTGAGCCCTGTTTATGGTACTAACAACTTTTCCTTGTTGTTAATAGACTCTTTCCATAGACGAATATCATTGATTAAGTCTGTCAAATACCTGTTTCATCTGTCACATCCCATTAACATATTGACTTAATATCTAAAGATATACAATATAAACCTTATATGAATTCTAGGATTACTATGCCTATAGGTATGTGATTCCACATTTAATTATACCTTTTCTTTGAAAAGCAACTATTAAAAGAATATATGTTAAAAGCATTAACTAAGGGAAATGATGTGGATATGCTTTAAAGAGAAACCCACTCAAGACTGCTGATCACCTTCCAAATGCATCACTCCTCCTCCCTCCCATCATTACCGCTAGGCTGTGACTATTTAACTGGTCTGAGCAGTCCCAAGCTAAGGCAGGAGACCAAAGACTCAGGAACAAGTTGGAGAATGTTTGGAATTTCCCTTTATTTGACTAAGATGAGTTAGCATCGAAGGGATGGAGATACACTCACTGGTCATCTCTTGTTTATTCTTGTACAGAAAAAGCTATTTTCCCTCCCAGGGACTTCCTTTCTCCTTGCCAGTGTGAGAAGATTCCTCGGTTCGAGACAGGGCTGCCAAGAGATGGAATAGGGGTGGGCTGGGATGTATCCCTAACCTGCTGTCTCTTCCTCACCCAGAGATGATTCTGTTTCTGTTATAGTCTTGGGGGCTCAGAAACATTATCTCTCTCCTCCCTGTTATTTGTTTCCCACTCTCAGAAAGAGAGATTTGTGAAACTACTGGACCAGCTACACAACTCACTGAGGATTGATCTCTCTACATACAGGGTGAGTGAAGACATAGGGCGGGGTGGGGTAAGAGTTAATATCAGCTCAGTCTAGAGAGACTGAAGGCCAATCTTGGCTGTAAGGAACAAAGGCAAGGAAAATTAGTCTGTATCATCATACCCATGTGCATGGCCAATGCCACTGACCTGTGGTTCTGCAAACTCCATGGACCATGCAGTGTGCAATTTGCAGGAGGTTGCTTTTTATAGACAGTTTGCTTTCCAACCCCATTCACATCACTACCAAATTCCCTGATGACACTCTCACTGGGAAATCTCCTAAGGATAATCTCTTTCAGCAATGCCCCTTTAAAAATTAGATAATTGCATTTTGTTCTTGCATTTTTCCATATTCTCCCCATTTTCCAGGGGGTGTGTGAGAATCTAGCTAAGGGGGAGATAGTGTAGCTTGGCTTGGGCAAGTAATTTGTAGCAGAGGTCATGTTCATTCCTAGGATGTGGGGAGAAAATAGATATAGTAGGAGGGTGGGTACCTGGGACGGGGCAGGACAGGGAAATGGAAAGTTCTTCAATTCTTCCTAAGTTAGATCTTCTTAGAATGGCTTCATTTCTTGCTTTACATTGTTGTGAATTTCCAGAACAGGCAATATACCCACATTAAAAAGTAAGTATAAAAATAATCTCAAAGTAAAAAAGAAAGGAGCTTTTAATTATCTATACTTCCAGTGCCCTCCATTTGCATGAATAATGGAGAGTTGACTGTATATCTTATATTTGGCATATAAGTAGCTGTGTGAAGGTTGAAAAGGGGGACCCTTAAAATGGAGAGTGATTTAACCCTTCAGCTGTCCTTAGCAGCTTCTTCCTAAAACTTCATTGCCTTATGCCAAAGGGAATGAAGTGAGGCATGGCAGGGAGGTCCTAAGGAACTTGCTCCAAAAGCAGTTTTGCTCAGAGCTGTGCCCTCTGCTGACTCCAGAACAGCTCTAGCTGAGGCCCGCTGTATAGGAAGTCCAGGTCTTGGGTCTCAGTCTGCTCCATAGTGTGGCTACACTTATATTCCAGGATATACAGTTAGATTGTAACTTTTGAAGAACTCACTGTCAGGGTGTAAGAATCTTCACCCAAGAAACGTGTGTGTGTGTGTAATTGTATGTGGGTGTCTGTGTGTTCATTTGTGAAAATGCACACACATGGCATGGGAAGTAGCATTGGGGCGTAGGAAGCGTTGCTTTCTGGGCTGGGGATTATTAACCTCTGCTTTTGGCAAGGGCCTGTCTGCATCAGTGAGAAATAGCGGGAGACTAACAATATTATGGCTTTCTTCGTCCATCTCAACTAAGGAAAATTTCAGTGGGTAGCAGTTAGGGAAGATTTTGATTTCATTGCTTCTGGAAGGGAAGGCTTTCTTATTTCTCTGTTCCTTTCTTACCTTTGCTTGATTTACAACAGAATAATTTCCCTGCTGGGAGCCCTGAGCGGCTTCAGGACTTAAAGTCCACAGTGGATTTGCTGACCAGCATTACTTTCTTCAGAATGAAGGTAAGGGATGAACTGGTCTGAGGGCCTGGCTACAGGCACATGGAGAATAAGAATGACTTGGCAGACTCTGAGGCTGTAGAAATCAGCTCAAAGCTCACATTTTCATATACCTGTTCTATGGATTACTATGGAGAAGACCATGGACCACCAAGGATGGGCTTAGCAGTTCTCTCCATCAGCTGTCTTGGCAATTTCAATCCAGGGCAAGGCCCAGGAACCCATAGAGGGATGAAAGGAATCTGGAGTAGTTTGGAGGTAGTTCTAGGAGGAGATCCCTCCCTGGTGCTAAAGACTCCAGACCCATATTTCTTTTATTAATTGGCAGGTGCAAGAGCTGCAGAGCCCTCCGAGAGCCAGCCAGGTGGTAAAAGATTGTGTGAAGGCCTGTTTGAACTCCACATATGAGTATATCTTCAACAACTGCCATGACTTGTACAGCCGCCAGTACCAGCTGGTAAGAGGTTGGGGATCCCATGGGACCAGCTGTCAGTGGCTCTCAGAGCCTCAGTTTTCATTTGCTGAGGTCATGGTGGAAGGGAGCTTGGGACAAAGCCCTCAGTGTTCTTGAGGGTGGGTGAGTTTTGTAGGATTTGGACCATCAAGACCATGTGATGCATTTGTGAATGGAGAGGGACCATTGGACCAGATTTGACTTAACTGAGTTGAAGGGAAGTGGCAACAGTAAGTTTTAGTTTGGTGCTAGAGAAAGTGACCAAAATTTGGGCAGTTTCAGGGGGTGAGTAGGTAGATTCACAATCCATCCCAGAATCTTTTTTTCTCCCCCAAGATTAATTTTATTCTGACTAATGGATACCTCTACATTCCTCTCTGCCTTCCTTCGAGATCTGTGGCTGTCTCTCTGAGTTGCTGGCTAATGGAAGTTTCATTTTTTCCTTTGACCACTTTTCTCTGTACTGCATGGTCTTCTGGGATATATTGACTGATCAGCTGAATATCACAACTGACCCCGTCCTTTCGTAAGGCTGAGATACTTCACCTGTTTTTTGCTGGCATTCTAACTTAGTACCTGGTTACCTTGTACATGTTTCTCAGTCTTTTCATTAGTGTCATTTCAAAGCCTGGACCTCCTTCTGTGTCTATTTACTCATAGTTCCTGTCTCAGCAGTGTCTTGCAGACCACACATTTGCAGAATAGATTCCTTTCAGTCCAGCAAGTGTGTACTGAATGTTTGTTCTTGGCCAGGTCTGAGGAAAGCACAATGCTTCTTCAGTCAGTTTACAGTCTCATGAGCGTATTTATAACTCCAATCAAAGTCTGTTTACAAGGGCATTGAAAGAGGGCTAAGATTGAAGGGATTCCAAGGAGACAGAATTCACTCTTGATCAGATATTGGGAAAGCCATGTAAAACAAGCAGCATTTGAGAGATACCTTGAAAGGCAGCTTCGGACAGCCAGTGATGAGAGGACAACCTAAATCTCAGACGTTTACCCTTTAGTGAATATACCCAATTAGTAATGCTTCAGGAGCACCTTAGTAAAGATGGAAATCTTGTTCACGCTGCTTCATCACATTCCCAAATGTACTTTTTGTGCCAGCCCTATCTTTAAGGCTTTCTCCTTTTAAGGTTTGTAAAAGTTTCTGCCCTAGTCTGTGGGAGGTTTTCCTGGTACTCTTGTTTAGCTTGCCATACTCTGGGCTCCTCTGTTATCTATGGATTTTCTCTGGTTGGATGAAGACACTCTTCTCAACTTTGATCTTTTATCCATGCACAGATCTTTCTGAATATTTGTTCTCTATTCCCTACCATGAGATGAACTTGGACTTTGAAAGGGGGCCTATACACTATTGAGGGACTTCCTTTAGCCTTAGAGTTTTGCTTACTGTATTTTTATTTCCACTCTCATTTTCTCACTATTCATTATTTACACTGAAGTAAATCCTTGTCATCTTTTTTTATTTCCCTCTACTAACCTTTAGTCATTGGTTCATTCATCCATCCATGGTTCCTTTAACAACCTGAGCACTAGGAATGTAAAGTCGATTAATACATGGGGTGGAGGGAATGAAGGACATCTATAATAGTGTCAACAATCAAAAAAAGATACACATCTCTGCCTTTGGAGAGCTCATTGTCTTTTATTATTCTATCGTTACTATCTTTTATTGTAATGGTAGTTGTCTATGACATGTATACCAGCGGGTCACAGAGTGTGCTCTGGGAGCCCGGAAGAGAGGCATCTCACCAGACCAGGGTACCAGGGAAAATTTCTCAGGAAAGGTAAAGGTCAACTTGAATTGTGAGGAATGAGTAGGAATTAGTTAAAGAAAGGGACCAGGGAGGAGGGGAATACTATATAGAGAAAATAGAATGTTTAGAGGCCCTGAATTGTGAATGAGTGTGTCAGTTTGGAGAAGTACAAGCAATTTAATTAGTGTAGCTACTTTGGAGTTCAGCCATCTAGGACCAAGTCTTGGTTCTGCTATTTTTATAGCTACATGACCTTGGGCAAGTTATACAACCTTATTGTCTTTAGTCTCATCGGTAAAGTAAAGGTGGTGATAATTTCTACTCGTGGAGTTGTTATGAGAATTAAATGAGATACTGCATGTGAAGTTCTTTGCAGAGCACTGGCACATAATAAGTGATATGGCACTAAGTAAGTGATGGTAATGATGTGGTAATGGCTGCAACAAAAGAGAAATGGTAAATATGAAGTATAGAGGGAGGTCACAGTTCAAAGGACCTTTGTGTGAAGGTATGGATTGGAGCTTTGTTGAAGGCCATCGAAGGGCTGAGAAGTAGTAATGAGATTTTCCTTGCAGAAGGATCACTGACAACTGTGCAAAAGAGGGATCTCTGAAGGTTAAAGATCAGTGAGGAGATCCTTGAACGATAAGAGCCTCAGCCAGTGTAGTGGTAGAAAATGTTAAAGGAAGTGTTGATTTCAGTGATATTAAGGAGGCATATTCCACATTCAGTGGGTTCTGTCCTAGTTTCTAGTTACTTCCTGGTCATGCAGGCAGATGAAGCACTGCGGAGACTTTGGGATGGCATATGGTGCCCCACATTAAAACTCTACCCCTGTCTTTCTGGGTGGTTCCCACGTTGCTTTTGCCCCAGTGGGAGACATTCCGTCCTCTCTGTGGTGACCCCTCCTTGTCCTGTTTGGGGTCTGAATGTAGAGTTGCTTCTCCTTTCCTTAATGCACCATTGCATTCCTTTACCTCTTCCCAACCAAGTGTTTTTCCGCCTGCAGCTCTACAGAAATGTAAGTGACACACAGCACCTTTGTGTAAGTGTGAGGTGCAATGTGATGGTTTGATACACATATGTATTGTGAAATTTGACCACAGCAAGCTTTGTTAACACAGCCTTCATATAATTACCATTTTGGTTGTTGTTATGGTGAGAACATTACACCTGTGCTCTCACAGCATCTGTCAGTATATAGTACAGTGTTAACTCTGGTCGCCTTTCTGTACCCCAGATCCCCAGAAGTTATTCATCTCACAATTGAAAGTTTGTGCTCTTTGACCAACACCTCCCCATTTCCCTCCCTCCTCACTCCTGGGAACTGCCGTTCTGCTCGCTGTTTCTCTGAGTGCGATGTTTTCAGGTTCCACATATATGTGAGATTATACATTCTCACCAATTTACCTTCCCACCAACAGCATTTGTCTTTCTCTGCCTGACTTGTTTAACTTAGCATAATGCCCACAAGGCCCATAGATGTTTTTATGAAGGACAGTATTTCCTTTTTATGACTGAATAATGATTCATTGTGTTTATATACCATATGTTCTTTATCCAGTCATTTGTTGATTGATGCTTAGGTTGTTTCCATGCCTTGGTTCTTATGAATAAAGCTACAATCAATAAACATGGAGGGTACAAATATGTCTTTAAAATAGTGACTTTATTTCTTTTAAATATATACCTAGAGGCAGGATTGCTGATCATATGGTAGTTCTGTTTTTCCATTTTTGAGTCACTGTCATGCTGCTTTTCATAGTGGCTGTACCAATTTACATTCCCACCAACAGTGCATCAGGGTTTCATTTCATCACATCCAGCATTTATTTCTTATCCTTTGGATCATTTCAGTTCTAGCTGGTATGAGGTAGCATCTCATTGTGGCTTGGACTTCCAGTTCCCTCATGATTAGTGATATTGAATACTTCTTTATGTGCTTGTTGATCATTTATATGTTTTCTTTGGAGAAATGTCTGTTCAAGTCCTCAGCCTATTTTTTTAATCAGTTTTTTGTTTGTTCACTTTTTGCTCTTGAGTTGTATGAATTTCTTACATATTTTGGATATTACACCTTATCAGATATATGGTTTGCAAATATTTTCTCCCACTCCATTGCCTACCTTATCATTTTGCTGATTGTTTCTTTTGCTGTATAGAAATGTTTTAGTTTAATGTAGTCCCATTTGTTGATTTTTGCTTTTGTTGTTTGTGCTTTGGGCAACATATCAAAAACATCATTGCCAATACTGATGCCAAAGAATCTTTTTCTAGGAGTTGTATGGTTTCAGGTCTTACAGTTAAGTCCTTGATCCAGTTGAGTTAATTTTGGGGTGATGTAAGATAGGGATCCAATTTCATTCTTTTGCATGTGAATATCCAAAAGTTTTCCCAACACCATTTACTAAAGAGACTCTCCTTTCCCCAGTGGGTCCCCAGGGCCTTTTCTTGTCCAGCTAGGCAAATAATTTCCTACATGCAGTTCTCTCCCCTAATGCCATTTCAGGTGTTAAGAGAAGTCCTAAACTGTTGAAGGCTGGGCCAGCCTGCATGCTAGCTCTGTTCAGTAGCTCCCGCCGAACTCGAAGTAGCTTCTCAGAGCTAGGATATGTATGTGGGGGTGCAGGGGGGCATCAGAGGAGGGCTGCTAGTGTGGGTCACATGGAACTAGACCTACTTAGTGAGGCTGGAGAGGCTGCTTACTCCAGTCAAGGAGTCACATACGCATAGCTTCTGAGGAAGTGGGGTCAGGCATCTTTATGTCTCTAAGACTGACTAAACTTATCAGATCGGTGCCCTGGAGCTGGGCAGAGAACTCAGTGTGAACTCTTTGTGTCCAAAGACCTCCCAATAGTCAGTCACCTCTGACATAACAGGGGTGCTCTTGCGGAAGACAGTTTCTAGGAAGGGTACCTGACTCTAGAGGTAGGAGCTTGGGGAAGGGAGAGAAAGAAGATTAGAGACACTCTTCACATTCTGCTCTGACTCACTGTCTCTTAACTTTCTTCTCCTCTGGAACAAGAAGCAGGAACTACCTGTAGAGGAACAAGGGCCTAGCATTCGAAACCTGGATTTCTGGCCCAAACTCATCACACTCATTGTGTCAATCATAGAAGAAGATAAGAATTCCTACACACTCGTTCTGAACCAGTGAGTATTGCCCCACTTGGCCCTGTCTGGTTGGTGGTTGGTTTGTCCATCTGTCTAACAGCCTCTTTCTTTCCTATCTCTGTATGTTTGCAGTGCCATCTCCTCCTCCTGTCCGTCCATCTGTCCCTCTGTCCCTTGTATCTGTCTGGGTAGCTGTTTCTGGAGACAGGTGTGGAGACATAATGGGGGGCCCTGCCCAGACTGCACCAGCCTCCCTGGAGTGACAGGCCTCTGGGAGTAGAAGTCCCGGGGGATCCAGAGACCATGTGTGTATGTGTCTGTCCGCTGTGAACTAAGTGGGCGACCTTACAGGCCACGTCTTTACCCTTTCTCCTCCAGTCTACTTAGTCTGGGCCTGCCTCCCAGCCTCAACTCTCCTCCTTTTGGCCTCACTTCCCTGACTTTTGGGCATCCTTTCCCTGGGCCCACTTTGCCTGAGGGGACTGTCTGCCCCTACTTGTCCTACCACTGGCTCCTGAGCCCCCTTTCTTCAGATTGAGCCTACCCATGTTTCCCAGTCTTCTCCTCTTCAATATGACCTCCAAGAACTAGGCATGTCAGCCTCGGAATAAATCAAATTAAATGGTTCTTGCCTTATTTCCTGATATGGCTTTTTCCATCATCCAGGTTTCCTCAGGAGTTGAACGTGGGAAAAGTCAGCGCAGAGGTGATGTGGCAACTTTTTGCCCAAGACATGAAATACGCACTGGAGGGTAAGGGAATACCCAAGGCATTGGGTCGCCAGCCCCTTGTCCAAGCACCTGGCTCGCTGTCTCTTTCTTCTCTCAGACAACTGCAGGTTCAAGGTGAATGGTACAGTGAGAAATTAGAGATTCCAGGCATAGTGGAGGATACGTCTCAGGAGGTCTTGGGTGGGCAAAGCTTCAGCCAAAAGAGTAACGGAAATGGCTGTGTGGATGTAGGTTCCTCCCTCCAGCTTTAGAGCAAATGCCTGTTTAGGACTTTCCCAGCCCAGAAATCAACTCCTCCCATCGTGTGTTCACAAGTGGCCTGCTCCCTGGAGTCTTGTGAAACTTACCTTTACAGTGTTAAAGAATCACAGACTCTTAAATACATAATTATTTCCTCACAGTGGGGACTGCCTGGCCTGGCTTTCCTTGAAAGCTGTTCTGGATTGGTGTGCCAAAGCTAGAAGATACGTCTCTCACTTCCCCTGTAGAGCAAAGCCACAGATAAATTGTTATCCATCTTGTTCATTCAGCTTATTCTTTTATTCTTTTTCCACTTTGGTCTACACATTTTATATTATTTATATTTTCTAACTGCAAGTTTGTACTTTTGACTCCATTTACCTATTTTGCCCACCCCCTGCCTTTGAAAACCACCAATCTGTTCTCTGTAGAAGCATTTAGTTTTGAGACTGAATGAAACATGAAGATCTTGTAAAGTTTGAGACAGCACAGACTGCACACACTTTCTGTCATTCCGCCCCAGAGTGGCTGCCTCCTGCCCACGCTGGGTCAAGCCTGGGGCTGTAGCCCATGCCTTCCTTAGCCTGTCCAGCCAGTGAGGAGGTCACTTGTCTCTCTCTTCCTGGTAGCACTTGGAGAGCCTAATGGTCCCAATTCTTGACAGTGGATTTGGGCGGGGGGGGGGGGGGGAGGAGATAAATACCTTTGAAGAGTGAATACCACAAGACAGAGAGCGTGAGGGAGGGGCAGAGGTTTCAAACAGCTGTCTCAGGAGCTAAGTGAGAAGGGGAACCTGGGAAGCTGGGCATCAGGCCTTTTACCTGGTACCAGCTAAGTCAGCTCTGCCTTTCCCTGCCTTACATGGGGTTCTAGGTGAGATTTCTTTTGAAATGGGAGTTCTGTTCTGCTAATGTTTACAACAAACAAAAGGGTTGAAAACCGCCCAAAGAGAAAGTAATGTTGACCTAGTTTCACATCTCAGTTTCACCACCCACTGCAAGTGTGATCTTAGACTCAGCTGCTGCGTTTTTGTGAGCTCCCATTTCCTCGTCAGAAAAATGGGAGTGATCACAGCATCTGTTTCACTGAGCTGGGAAAGTAACTCAGATGCGTGTAACCTATTGGCATACTGCCTGCCATTTGCCCAGCACTTAATCGTAGATGTTAAGGACAATAAGAAACCATTACAGGCACAAGAGCAGAGATGCAATGTGAACAAAGTAGCATTTGGAAAATGAGAGTGGTTGGAACAGGGAAAGACCAGAAGCAGGGAGAACAGATAATGTTGTAATAATTTAGTCTGAGGGGAGAGAAGTGGAGAGGGAAGAATGGGCTTTGATAGACGTTGGAAGGAAGTTGTCCAGGACTTAGTGGTTCTCAGGAATGTGAAGGGCAAGAGAAGAGGAAAAGTTTGGAGACCTGGATGATAAAATAACATGTTGACTTTGAGTGTCACCTGATATTTTTAAGTGAACTTTATTGAGGCATAATAATTTATATACAATATAGTAAAAATATTGTAAGAGTACAATTTGATGAGTTTTGACTAATAAACACACTTGCGTACTACTATCACAATTAAAACATACAGCAAAGTTTCTTTATGCTCCTTTGAGTGAATCCCCACCCCATTCACTAGGTATTCACTGACTACTTCCTCTGTCAGGCACGGTGCTCGTTACTGGGGCCCCAGTGAGACGAATGCAACACAGGCCCTGCCCTTGACAAGCTCACAGACTGGTCTAGATAACAGACATAAGTTGGTGGTTACAACTCAAAGTTGTAAGGGCCGCAAAAGGAATAAGCCTAGGGTGCTAAGAAGAGAACCATGTAACCCAGACCTGGAAAGGCTTCCTGGAGGTGGTGATGCACAAACTGAAACCTGAAAGATTGTAGGATTTAGCCAGTGGGGAGGGAGGGCAGTGGTGATCCAGGTTAGAGATGACGATAATGAGATTTAGGTGATACTGTGAGTAGAAAGAAATGGACAGATTCCAGAGTAGTTCTGGTGAAATCAACTGGGATTGGTGATTTAACTGGATGTGAATAAAGGGGAAGGAGGAGGACTTGATGATGATTCTGAGCTTTGAACAAGAGGGTATGATTAGTGTGTATGTGCTGCTCAGCTTCAGCTGGAGCTGTTAAGATGGTGCAAGATGAGGATTAGAGTTAAACCTGGGCAAAGTGAGATGTTCCATCAGAGTCATACACAGACCTTACCCAAAACAGAGAGAGATTTGAGGAAGATGATCAGCAATCCAGATAGTTGAAACCATGGTTGAAAGAACTCCCCAAGGATGAAAGACAAATAGAGGAGGAATTTGGAAATCAGGCATGATTGCACTTTTCAACAGATTAACTACACCCTGCCCCCCACCCCCTACACCACCCCTCAACAATCCCAAGCAACTCTGCCAGGGTATGGCTCCATGCACTTGATAGAATAGGGTCGTGGGTTTTTTGTTTGTTTGTTTGTTTGTTTGTTTGTTTTTATGTATTTGTTTCAGAGAGAGGGGAAGGGAGGGATTAATAGAGGGAGAGAGACATTGATTGGTTGCCTGCTGCCTACAGCCAACCAGGGTCCTGGCCCACAACCCAGGCATGTCTCCTGACCAGCAATTAAACCAGCAACTTCTTGGTGTGCACTACAATGCCCAACCCACTGAGCCATGCTGGTCAGAGTTTGTGAGAATAGTTTCAAGTGTGACCAGTGTTTTTTCACTACACAAGTTAATGTAGAAACTGGGGTTTGGGACAGATAATGGTTTGACAAGAGAAAGTGAGAATCATATGTAAATACGGTAATTAAAGTCCCCTAGAAGAAAGCAGTTAGGGAGCTCTAGAATGATGAGCAACACTGCCTCCCCTCCCCTTCCAGTGGGTTGCTGAACAGGAAAGGGGGAGGACCCTCCTGAGGGTACCATTTTTTTCCCTAAGCTCTTGGACTAGTTAAGGACTGCAGGGTAGTCGGGTGGAAGAGAAGGGGCAAGCCCTGAGAGGGGTTCTCTGATGTCCCAGTTTTTTCACTCCCTTAATTGTTCATTGGTATCTTTGCCCTGCCACAAGCATCCACTGTCATTCGTATACGAAAAGTCCTCTTTCTGGGTGGTAAGAACTTTTGGTTGTCCCTTTACCTCTAGTTTTATACCTTTTCCTTTTCTCTTGCTCATTGCTTCATAGAAGAAACTAGTTGCAAATGCAACTTCAGATTGAGATGGTGCCGCCTGCAGTGCCTGGAGATGAAATTCCTGGGTCCCAGAGCCCTTTGAGGCTGCATCCCAGGCTTTCATATCCTCCCTGAGTGTCTGCTGCACTAGTGCAGAAGGGCCAGCTGCCCCAGACTGTGTGTTCCACCTTGACCTGGAAAAGCATTGTCCATGGCAACTTGCAGTTGAGCAATAGAGTTCCCAGGGACAATGGCCTTCCCTTCTCTGTTGCTCAGTACTCTCCGCCATTTGCTTGATTTCACATTATATTATATGTAAGCACACACAATTGGCTTTAATTATTAAAATTAAAGCTTCATCTATAAAGGGGGTAGAGAATGAAAACCCATGTTTATGGTCAGTGCTCCAGACTCTGGGAAAGCTGTGTATGCTCTTTGTCCTAGATTTTCCAGAAGGCCATGGAGACTCAGCTGGAGATTATAGACCTTTCAAGTCTGTAATGAGCATCTCATTTTCTGAAATGTGATGGTCCTTTCATCTGGCTGTGTTTCCATGGTTTCCAGACTGACTGTTCTTATCTGCAGACTTTGAGAGTTCATTTTCGGTGTCCCAGCCCTGCTCTGGGGCCCTTCGGTTTACATGAACATTCTGCTGCACCGTGGTTGCTCAACTGCAATCTCTGGCAGGTCGGGTCCACTTTGGTTTTTTCCGTCTCTGTGTGTTGTCATTGACCCATATGTATCATGTACAACTGCTCATCTTTGCATTTTTAAGCTTGCATTTAAGCTACTAGGATTAGAAAAGCCCTGGAAAACTGTCATCCCTCTCCAGTCCTGGGCTATCTCCCCACCACTCAGCATTAGCATCCATATCCCTTTCTCGTCTTCTTTACCAGAGGCCAGCACCTCACTTGGCACTTCCAAAAGCCAGAGCAGTTAGACTATAGGCCTTACCTGGGAGTCTGGCTTAGTCTCTAAAGGAAGATATAGGCCAGGATCTTAGAGAGCAGAGCACTCACTGGTGGAGGGGGAATGGCTGTGAGGGGGTGGTTGGGAGTCACCCTTTAATAAGACTGGATCTGCTGCTTTGGGAAAACACAAGAACCAGAGCCTCTACTGCAAAACCCTGACCCAGCCTCCTTCCCTTCCACTAGAGCATGAGAAAAACCGGCTGTGTAAGAGTGCTGACTACATGAACCTACACTTCAAGGTGAAGTGGCTCCATAACGAATATGTGTGGGATCTGCCTGCCTTCCAGGGGCAGGTGCCTGAGTACCCAGCGTGAGTCATCAAGTGGGCACTATGGAGGGAAGGGAAGGAAGATGGTCCCTCTGGCTTATGTGGGGGGAGGACACCGGTATCCTCAATTTGGTTCATCAAGCCAGTCTTGAGCCCACCTGTTCTGGGCGCTGCTATAGAAAGAGGGAAGTGTCAAACCATGTCCTACCTTCTGGAAGACCCCTGCCTGGGGGGATGTCAGGCACATGGCATATGCCAGCAACTCGCTCCAACCCCCAGTTCTCTCACCTGGCTGCAGGTGGTTTGAGCAATTTGTCCTGCAATGGCTGGATGAGAATGAGGATGTATCTCTGGAATTTCTGCGTGGGGCCCTGGAACGAGATAAGAAGGATGGGGTAAGTCAGGGGCTTGGCTGCACAGGGCTGAGAGCAGCAGTCAGCTGTCAGCAGACGTTCCTGGGCTCTAGACAGATTGGCTCTTCCTGCCTGTGAAGCCCATGAGAAATGCTATTGAGGGCTACTGAGCCACTCCTGCTGGGCAGAGCTCTGTTGAATGAACTCTATGAACTTGGAAAGAAGTCGTGGCTGAAGATGCTGACCTGTATATGTGGCCTTCCTCAGTTCCAGCAGACATCAGAGCACGCACTCTTTTCCTGCTCTGTGGTGGACGTCTTCACACAGCTCAACCAGAGCTTTGAGATCATCCGAAAGCTGGAATGCCCAGACCCCAGCATCCTTGCCCAGTACATGAGGAGGTTTGCTAAGGTGACCACGACCCTCCCTCCCCTCTCCCCTTACTACCACCACACTGACAGCCTAGTCATAAGTCTGAGTTCAAACCTTTGTGGTATGTCTGGGATGGACAGGTGGGTTTGCCTCATCGCCGTTCTGGGGTTGAGAGGGAGCTTTGTCCTTCCTGTGAGATTCCCCTTTACCTCTGCGTTCTAGGATGGGAGGTGTGACTTCTCAGGCAAGATCCTTAGGGGGAGAGCTAAGGGTTCCCTCTCCTGTCCTTTTTTCCTCTTTTCTCAGACCATCGGGAAGGTGCTGATGCAGTATGCAGACATCTTATCAAAGAACTTCCCAGCTTACTGCACAAAGGAGAAAATGGTGAGGGTCAGGCCCTGGGACCTTGGAGAATGGATTACAAGACACTTGAATCCTTCCTTTGGAAGCTCTCCTTACAACTGAGGGTGGAGATGATGCTCCCGACTTCCCATTCCCACCAGAGCCTCACTTGAGATTGTGCCACAGAGTAGTAAGAACTTGGCTAGGAGTTCCTCTGAGCCTCTGTGTAATACTGTATTCCCTACTAAGCTAGACTTTTGTTAGTCTTTTTCTAAATTAAAAAAAAATTATGAGATAGTCAAAGAGTTATAAAGGATAACACCATGAACACTTGGGGCCCACCACCTAGCTTAGATACAGAAACATTTGCTTCTAGTCTTCATTCATGAAGAATTGTCTGAGTTGGTTCCCGATCTCAATGCTTAGGGAAAGATACATGTAATGACCTGTTGTAAATTCCCTGTGGCTTTTGGAGTAGCGTGAGAGAGGGAGGAACCCTATGCTGATGGGTCCCACGCTGAAAGGAGCCAGACTCAGCAGCTCCATCTGTCCCCCAGCCCTGCATCCTGATGAACAACATGCAGCAACTGAGGGTCCAGCTGGAGAAAATGTTTGAGGCCATGGGAGGCAAGGAGGTAGGTCTCAGGGTTTGGGGTTGCTGCACGTTTCCTTTATTCTGGAGTTTCCCAACCGCGGAAGTCTGCCGTCTCCTGGCTGGGTGTAGGCCTGGAAGTTAGTTTTGGGTCCAGGCTGGCTTGAGCTGAGACATTTGAGTAGGCATTGGGGTAAAGGCCCTGTGAGGGAGGAGTGGAGCCAAGAGGGGGAGAAAAGAGTGAGAGAACCAGCTTAGCAAAGCTCTTGTGGATACAGTTGGACCCCGAAGCCTCAGACAGTCTGAAGGAGCTGCAGGTGAAACTGAACACAGTTCTGGATGAGCTCAGCACAGTGTTTGGAAACAGGTTAGTGGCCCCAAAACAGCCCTCAGAGCGAGATGTGGCCCCTGGCCAGTCCCAAGGCCCCTGCCCCACACCCATCCATCCAGCTGCAGGTGTGCGGCTCTTCCCTCTCCTCCCGTTGGCCCTCTCTGCTGAAGCTGCACCATGAGCATTCTGGAGTAGGATCGAATAGCTGGTGCTGCTCCAGGAACGGTGTGTGTTTGGGAAGGAGAGGGTTGTATTCTGGGCACATGTGTAGTTTCCAGGTGCGGATTGATGAGTGCATTAGACAAATGGCTGACATCCTGGGCCAGGTGCGGGGCCCAGGGAATGCATCCCCCAATGCCAGGGCCTCAGTGGCTCAGGATGCAGATAGCGTGCTCCGACCTCTCATGGACTTCCTGGATGGCAAGTGAGTACAGTACTTGGGACTGTCCTCTGGGAGAAGCAAAGCAGGGGCAATCAGAGGAGCCTCTTGGGGAGGGGGGTTCACACTCACCCACCTGGCCTTACCTGTTGCCTGGGCCTGCAGCCTCACCCTCTTTGCCACGGTGTGTGAGAAGACGGTCCTGAAGCGTGTACTGAAGGAGCTCTGGCGGGTGGTGATGAACACAATGGAAAGGATGATTGTTCTGCCCCCACTCACTGACCAGACGGTAAGAACAGTTCCCTTCAACTTCTTCTCGCTGTGTCCCTTACTTCACTTCATACTTGCTGATCCAGTCTGGAGTCCTCTGCTTTTGACTGGTTCCCTCTCTGCCCAGGGCACCCAGCTGATCTTCACAGCAGCCAAGGAGCTGAGCCATCTTTCCAAACTCAAGGTACTCTAGATGTGTGGGGTCCTTCTGAGGCCAGTGGGGAGGGGGTTGTTTGGAGGGAAGGAAATTTGAGCATTGGAGACTGACAAGGAGGGAAAGGAGAGGAACATGTAGCTCTGGGCTGGCAGGTAGGAGCAAGGTTTTCATGACAACCCCCAGCCGTCATGACGCTGTTGCTTTCTCTGTGATTCCAGGACCACATGGTGCGAGAGGAAACACGGAGTCTTACTCCAAAGCAGTGTGCCATCCTCGACCTTGCCCTGGACACCATCAAGGTGGAGACGCCTCCAGGCAGTCTTACTACCACACCTGCTTAGCCTTGGCATTTCCCTCTGCCAGACTACATGTCCCTCGGGCTCTTGCCACCTCACATCAGAAGAGAGTGCTTTTTATGTCTGTCTGTTTCTCTGCTATGTCTATATTCCTTTTGGGGAGCAACCAAAAACACAGCTCCTATGTAGTCTCAGGCAACTCACCACGGACCTAAAATACTCACTCATTCCTGGGTTCTGAGTCACACACATCCAGTTCACTTAGTTCTTCATTGCCGTTCCTGAATACTTTCCACTGGGAATTAATCTTCCAGGTCCTAATTCCCCAGATCTGGCTGGCATTTCTCTCTTTCACATAAATATCAAGTCATTCATTTTTCACAGGATTTTTTTCTACTACCTGTTTATTTATTCGATGAGGCAACATGCACTAGGTACTAAATACTATGAAGGACACAGAGAGAACTAGACATGGTTCCTACCTCAAGGTGGTTATAATCTGGTCTAGTAGGTAAGAAGGCAGGTACATAAGACCTGTGATTCAGGGCACTGGGGAGAGGTATGTTATAGGTGTAATGTTCTCTAAGGGCTCAGAGGGGTAAAAGAGCACTTCTGGCTGCTCTGCCCAAAATGCTTCTATCCCTTATCCTTGCCTGTCCAGCTAGATCTGTTCTTCAAGCACAACAATCCAGTAGCATGGCCATCCCCTACCCCTCCTTCCAGATACCCAGATAATACTGTTCACCTGAGGGACTGTGACCCGGCTCCTTGTGGTATTCCTGATCCTGTTGTTTGTTGAATGACTTCCGGTCCTTACCATCCTCTGCGGCATTTTCACTGAGCCTCCGCTCAGATATCATTCCTCTGAGGGCAGTGGTGGGGAGCTTCCTCTGTGTGTGTGGACGAGGCAGCAGCAACTACTCTTTTGTCTTTCAGCAATATTTTCATGCAGGAGGCAATGGGCTGAAGAAAACCTTCCTGGAGAAGAGCCCAGATCTGCAGTCCCTGCGCTATGCCCTGTCTCTGTACACGCAGACCACGGACACACTTATTAAGACCTTCGTGCGCTCACAGACTGCCCAGGGTAAGGCCTAAGGGCTTTGGGGCACCACCTCCCTTTGCTGACACATCTCTGCCCTCGGGAGTCAGTGTCCTCTAGCCTTCAGGGAGGATCCAGGTGCTTCTTCAGAGATCCATTCACACTCAGACCCCAGGATTTCTTGAGGGACCCCAATCCTTACCCCCCCACCCCATACCCATACCAGACAGGAGAGTCACGGGACCTGGGAAATGTGCCTGAGGATTTTTTCCCCCAGACATTGGCGAGGGCATGTAGTGTGCAAGTAGCACATACTGCCTGATAGGAAAAAACCTGTGAGGAGCTTGGAGAATGAGTGGTCGAGACACTCATGACGACTCATAGCTTTGGGAAGCTTAGTTGGAAGTTGTCTTGAGGATAGAAGCAAATGACTTAGCAGGTTCTCCAGCATGGACGAGAAGAGGGGCAAAACATGGGAGCAGTTGAAGGAAGGGTGCAGAGCTCATGTGTAGCCGAGTTCTAGCCTCATGGGTGTTGCTAATGCACAGGAGACCCAGGCAGCTGGTCTTCTCCCAGTGGCTTCCAGTCCTCAGAACCCCTCCCTGCCTCCAAACAGGCCTATCTGTCTGGCCTATCTGTAACAAAACACATTTGCATACACAGTTACATTCTGACTCTGATCCTGGAGAGGGTCCTCCCAGGAAGGACCTTCAGGTGCATATGATACTGTTGGTTCCAGGGAACCTAAGCATCCTTCCTGGGGGAGTGAAGCTGGGGGAGAAGAGAGTGGGAAGGCTTCGGCCTTACCAAACAAACTGTGGGTCTGGAGTACAGAGCCGACCTGAAAGGCAAGAGGGATCTAAGCAGTTAGGCCAGACTTGATGGAAGGTGAAAAGATATGTGTGCACCGCTGCTGTTCTCCACAGCTGTTCTTATTTCAAGTCCAGGGTGGGAGGAAGAGAGAGCAAGAGTAATTAAGAGCCATGCCCTGGCTGGGTGGCTTAGTTGGTTGGAGCATCATCTCATATACCAAAAGGTTGCAGGTTCGATTCCCAGTGAGAGCACATACCTAGGTTGCAGATTCAAGCCAGGTCGGGGCATGTATGGGAAGCAGCTGATCAATGCCTCTCTCTCCCTTCTTCTGTTTCTGAAATCAATGAAAAATATATCCTTGGGTGAGGATTGAAGAAAAGAAGTTATGGGCCTTGCTCAAGGGGACAGAGAAAACTTTTACAGAGCCGAGTACATATAAAGGCCTATAACAGGCCTATAACAGAGAAGGATCTGAGTGAATCCAGAAAGACTTTTTAGACACATTGGGCTTTAAGCTAAATAGATGGGTAGAGACTGGGATGGGCAGATACAAGGTAAGAGCAGGAGTGGAGACTGCAGGGAAGATCCAAGTTTGTGTGTGTGTTTTTTTCTACCCATTGCTTTATTATTTAAGGGTGTAGGGAATTCGAGTTTAATACCTTTCTCTGTTGTGCTCCACTGGTCTCAGATACCTTCACTCTCTGTATGTTCTACTGCTTCTGTCCATGATCAGATTGATCTTCGACCCGTGTCTAGTTTGGAGTATTCAGGCACTGACCCCAGCGTTTTGACTTCTCTCTCCACCTTACCCCATCTCTGCGCTCCCTCAGAATATGTAGAGCTGCTGTGAATGGCTGTTAACTCCTTAGACTACTAACTGATTCTTCTTTCTCTGTCTTACTGCTGCTACTACCTCTTGACTTTCCTGTACTCACTCAGTGCATGATGGGAAAGGTATTAGGTTTACTGCCAATGAGGACATTCGGCCGGAAAAGGGTATGTTAAACACCATGCAGTATGAATCTAACGTGGGCTAACACTGTCCCCTGTGAACTGGAATGAGTTGCTTATGTTGAGAATGGGGAAGTGAGGCATCAAAGTTCAGAAGCTCTGTCCCAAGTCTGAGATGGGCATTGTGTTCAGACTGAAACTGGGTTAACAATAGTTCTGTCCTCAAAATCTTCCTTCCCTCCACCTTAGGACAAAGAAATTTTATCTGTGATGCAGGCTACTGGTGTTTTTTTTTGAAATAGTGTAAGGCCTCTGCTGAGGGGAATCTGCAAATTGGCCAGACATTGGGACTGGGGAGCTGTGTGTGGAGAGGTCCAAATTTGAGCAGGACAGCGTCGTTCTGAGTAGGGCAGACTCCCAAGCAGGGGCCTCCAGGAATCCAGACATATGTGGGAGGTTGTGGCTTTTGGCTAAATGGGACCAATATTGGTCCATTAAGACCTTGGAGAGGGCAAAGTTCACCAACAGAGACACAGGGTGGCAGTATTGTCCTTCCCCAACATCTTCAATGAAAAACTCTAAGCCTAGCAGATACCGGAGGTTTGAGGAACCTGAGCAGTTCCTGGTGCACTTTTGAAAGTTTTGCCTAGCTTGTGTTTTAACACACAGCCGCATACTTTATCCCCCTTCATTTGCTTCTCCTGTGTTTACTTCCCTGTGGCTGTTGTGGGTGACTGCTTCTTGTTATAGGGTATAGGGTCGATGGCCTCCCAATTCCTTGGTTTTATCTGGAATAATTAGGCCTAAAGTCTTCTCCAGGGGAAATCACCTGTCCATCCGTCCCTCAGGGTCTGGTGTGGATGATCCTGTTGGAGAAGTCTCTATTCAGGTGGACTTATTTACACATCCTGGAACTGGGGAGCACAAGGTCACTGTGAAAGGTGAGTGGCACGGATTCAGAGGTCTCAGACCTTTTGTTGCCCAGTGGCCTCATTAGTCAAAGATATGGCCTGCTTAACCCAGCCCTCCAGCTTAACCCTCTTCTCTGGGGGGATGCCACCTGGGGCTCAGGAACTGGGAACAGGTGGAATCCCTCACAAGTTTCCCTTCTTTGGGCAGTGGTGGCTGCCAATGACCTGAAGTGGCAGACAGCAGGGATGTTCCGACCCTTTGTGGAAGTGACCATGATTGGCCCACACCAAAGTGATAAGAAGAGGAAGTTTACAACCAAGTCAAAAAGCAACAACTGGGCCCCCAAGTACAATGAGACATTTCACTTGTAAGTTATGGGGTGGGGAACCTGTGGGACTCTGGGATGAGGGTGAACTGGTGGGTAAGACTTGAGAGCAGAGGGATGGGCTGGATGGCAGCTGGGGTGAATTCAGTTGGAGACTCCCTCATTTCTGGCCTTCTACCTTCCACCTACCCTGTGCTCACAGCCTCCTGGGAAATGAAGAGGGGCCAGAAGCCTATGAATTGCAAATATGCGTGAAGGATTACTGCTTTGCCCGGGAGGATCGCGTTCTAGGACTGGCTGTGATGCCTCTGCGGGATGTGGCGGCCAAGGGCAGCTGTGCCTGCTGGTGTCCCTTGGGCCGGAAGATTCACATGGATGAGACAGGCATGACCATTCTCCGGATTCTGTCTCAGAGGAGCAATGATGAAGTGGCTCGAGAGTTTGTGAAGCTCAAATCAGAGTCTCGTTCCGTGGAGGAGGGGAGCTGAGCACCTAAACTCCTGGGTCAACCAGATGGCTCCAGTTCCACAAATCAGGGCCAGTGGAGTTACTGTGTAGCCAGCTTAGGTCCTCATAGTTAAGAGGCTGAATCCTTCAGTTAAAGAAATTTAAGGAGAACTTTGGGGTGGTAAGAGTTTGGCTTTTCACAGAAAGGGTCATGAATCCCTGACCAGCAGGTCTGTGGTGCTAGGAGCTAGGTGGCGGGGGTTACTGCATAGGGAGATATTCCGTTAAGAGAGAGACAGGCATTTCTGAGTGTGTCAGCCATTCCTGGTAGACATCCCTCCACCCCACTCTCCATGTCTACCCCTTGCCATACCACACCTTATCCAGTTGGACCCATGTGTACCAATCACTGGAAGGAAAAGTATGGAGGGCCAGGAGCTTGTATCTGGCTAGCTAAGTAGTCAGTCGAGCCTGTAGGTGTCACTGAGCCCTGTAGTCTGGACTGAAGTACAGCCAGGACAAGAGCACAGAGAACTCAGACTGTTCCTTGAGCAGAATACCACTGGTTTTGTGTGGCTCCGCTGAGAATAAGGCTTTGAAACTGAACAAGATACCTTCTACAAGTGAGCTATACTGATCCCTCACCCAGTTTGTATCTGTCATGAGCAGGAGCAGATTTATATGTACGGTGCTTCAGAGCCTTGAGCAGAATATTCTTTAGAACCCCAGCACCAGAGGCCACCTTCCCGGGAGCCCCCTGTACTCCTGTAGGAGGGGAGTGATGCTTCAGGACACAAGAGGCTCTTATGTAAATGCATTTGAGGGCTTGTGGAAAGATCCAGGAGAGAGAGCTATATTTTCTTCTTGGGTAGGCCCCGAACAAAGCCAAAAATTTTATAAATTAGTCTAGAAGGAGTCCTCCTCACCTATGGACACCACCTTCTAGCTGTCCTCCCCCTTGTAGAGAGAATCTAGCCTTTGACCTCACTCTTTCATGAGGTCAGCTGCTGTTCACCTTAGAGATGCTCAAACCTCCAGAAGAAGCTTGGACTATGGTCCTTCTATGCAGGCTGGATGGAGGGGCCTCAACTCTCCTGGGAGGTCAGAGACAAGCTCTTTCAAGGGGTCATATGGACTTCCAGGCCTTTGCTCAGACATGTGATATAGTCCTTTGATGTCCTTGGTAGCAGCCTCCTGGACTTCCTTCCTCGACTTTTAGAGAACTCTGCATTGTCCATAGTTGTACTGACCGTTACGTGAAACAAGAAACTGAGTTTTTATTGTTGTTGTTGTTATTATTGTTATTAATTATTGTATGTGCCATTGTTACAGGAGATTATTGGCTAGTCTGTAATAAATTATCTTATAGCAGCCTTTGGGGTCTTGTTATTCTGTTGGAAAGTGTGGAAAGCTGTAGAAATGACTGTTTTATATAATGGTTGATTTTGGACCAGTGGCCTTTGCTGCTTTTTCCACTCATCCCTAATCCTACCTCCTACCCCTGTAAGTGGTGGAGCCTGAAGCAGACTGGATAAGCACCAAGCAGTAAAGCAGCCCATGTGTGAGCTTCTTGGCCTTGACTTGAGACCAAACAGTCCAGTTAGCAGAGTCATGGGACCAGCTTCCTGTAAAAGGTTCAGAAAAGTAGCAGATGGCATGTGTGGGTGAAAACTAGTCCATGCTATGTCCTTCCTTTTCTAGAATCATGAGGCTTTTTTTTTTTTCCCCCTAGGACAGACACAGCCTGAGCTGTAAGAATGAGGCAGGGGCCTACTGGGAAAAGATGTGTCTCCAGAGGCTGGTGGAGGGCTGAGGCTGCTGTGTACAGGACAGAGGTGTAGGCCGAGGAGTACACAGTGGCCTTTCACACAGGGAAATTAAAGGAAGAGCTAGAGCAGAAAGTCACTCCCAAAGGGGAGGAAACAAGGTGAAAGTGAGGCCTCCTGACATGGAAATCAGAGAAGCTGAAGCTCTCCTAATACTGCACGTTCCAACTGAAGAGGAAAACTGAAATCTCTAGAGAAGCTGCTGTGTGTATTTATGAATATTAATTAATAAAAACTGTTTGGATGGTTTACTTTAAGAAAAAAAAAAAGAAAGTGCTCACCTACTCTCCACCAGCAGGCATGCTTAAGGGGTAGAGACTGCGTACAGGCACAGATGAAGGAACTAACTGGAGTTTCTATTTCCACTTGCTTGCTAAATAAATCCTTACAATTCAGTTGCCCACTCATTTTTAAATTTTTTTCTTTCCCAAATCAGTTGCCTATCATTTCTGCCTCACTGACCTTTTAATTTTCAGTTCCCAAAACCACAAGTGGAGTAGTGATTTGTAGATCTTGTCTGGATTACTGATAATCATCTGCTTCCATTCTACCCCTGCTGTCTTCACACACTTGGGCCTCTTTCCTGTTAAAGCTATAGTCTTCAGGCTGAAACTCCAAGACACTTCAAGAGAAGTGCAGGCTCCCCTCACCATCCTGCAGCTATTCAGCACTTTTCCCCATCCCCAACTACCACTCCCTTTGCACCCCCCCCCCACACACACACACATATACATACACACACTGTGCACTCCTACCCACTTCCTGGAATATCCTCAGCCTTTTCCACTGCCTTTTAGGTTCTGACATTTTGGCTGCCTTTAGGACCAAACCAACCCTGGACACCCTCCCTACAGCATTCCACGTTGTCATAATTTACTTGTCTGCCTGCCCCCATCAGCCTAAAACTACTCAAACAGCAGATTCTGAGTTTTCATCTCTTTCCCATCCGTCAGTACCTACGTACTTCAAACCCTGAGGCAGGATTGCTTTGGAAAGCCAGTGAGAAAGGGGGCGTGGCTGGAAGCGAGCCTTGAGGGTGGGCGTGGTCAAGTTGGAGGCGGGGCTTTTCTCGTGGTTGGACCCTGGGGCCTCGCAGTGCGCCTGCGCAGAGAAGTGCGTTAAGATGGACGTCGCTGGAGTCGACGACTGCAGGGCTATGGTGAGCAAGAGACGCCTGAAGGCGCCGCCGGAGGAGAAGTTATTGCCTTCTTGCTCCTGGCATTGAAAAAAGTATATCCCCATACGACCCGACATTCGTGCCCCTCTGTATACTTTCCAGTAGATATCCACCCTCGCACTTTCTTGTAAACTGTTTCCCCTATACTCACTCCCCCAGGTTAACAGGTTTTCCAGACACTCCAGAGTGAAGATGTTATCCACCCAGATACCTAGCAAAGGGGCTCTTTATCCCACAAATATCTCTCAAAGAGCACCCATTTATCCAGTTACCTCATAGAGCTAACGCACATTCCTGTTAACTCAGGGAGTTTTGTCCACTTTGCCAACGGTATCCAGATTCTCTGAGAAGAAGGAGTAAACTTTACAGCATTATTTGACTTGAAAGTGGCACATTGACCATCATTCCTCTGAAATGGTGCGAGAGACTTACTCCATAAAACGCTGGCGACCACTCATGGTTAACAGGCTTGCAGATCTGAGGTAGTAGCTAAGTTTTTAAAATCAAATTTCACATTTTAAAAATGCAGATTTCTAGTTTTTTGAAAAATTAGTCTGTTAACTATTAGCTCACATTCTCGCACAAGCGGTTGGAGTGGAGAAGCAGCTAGTAAAGTAGTTTACTATAGTTCGTTACAGACTCCTTTCCTTTTTATTTTATTTTATGCATTCAGTTTTACCTTATTTGCCTGGTACCTGGAAGGCATTTGAGTTTGTGATCCCTGATGTAAGACTTTGGGTAATTTCTGCACCGATGCTTTGATCTTTTAATGGAAACTGAAATATAAAGAGGTTGGATTTGTGTTAAGGTTGTCTGTTGGTTTCTACAATATACTTATTAGAATCAGAGATCATCCTAATAGCTAAAACCCAGGGTGAAATCTGTGCTCAGGTTTTTTAATAGGAGAATTCAATCAAAATATCTGTAGGTTGTTCCCTGGTGCATTTGATATTGAAGAAATTCGTTGTTTTAACTCTTTCTGATGCAGTGAGGCCAAAGACAAAGTATTGTTTCTCTTTGAACGGCTGGTGATAAAAGGGCCTGGCTCTGATCTATACTGAAAGCGATATCTCAAAAGTGCATCTCTTTCATGCCAGAATACAGAGATGGTAACCCTCCTCTCACGGAAATAGCAGGTCTCATAGTATTAAGAGCGGGGGGTATTCTGCTGGCTGTACCCATTCAGAAGTAGAAGGACCTTTCACAGTGGACTTTGAAGAAGCAAAAGTCACTTTTTTCAGCTTGGATGTATGACCCAAGTATTCATTGTGAATATTTGGACTAGCTTCCTGAATGAAACTGCCATACCTAGAAGCAGAGTGGCAAAGCTGAAGAAGCAACATGGAATAGTGGAGATGGCATAATACTATGAATACTGGTCTCAGCTCACTACAGACTAGTCAGGGGGCCTTGACCTTTAATCTCTCAGAGACCATTTCTGGCATTTGTTAAATAGACTAATTAATTCCTGTTATGTTTACCACAGAGGGATCAAGTGGGATTAGATGTGAAAACATTTGAAAAATTATACATCTTCTCTAGGTGCATGGGGATTATTATCCTGATTATAATTATTAATGACATTCCAAGTCCTGATTAATTTCTAAGGAATTTGTCTTGCTGCATCCGACTTCAAAATCAACAAATATTTGCTGAGGACATCCTATTTGTCATGTACTCATCTAGGCATGGAGCCTAGCACTGAACAAAACAAACACCCCGTGTAAATTTAGGGGTGAGTTATCAACACGCTGAGTGCCTACTAAGTGCCCAGTGCAGTATAATAGCATGGGGAAGTAGTCAGAAGAATCTAGATTATGGCCCTAAGTCTGCCACTACATATTTGTGAGACACACTTTCCTTGTGTGAGCCTGAATCTCCCCATCTGTAAAATGAGGAGTTTATGCAAGGTAAACTCAAAGGCTCATTGCACCTGAAATATGTTTGTTTAGAGATTCTGATTGCTAAAGTTCCCTCCCCCTAAGGAGTTGTTGCACTGCCGAGATGGTCAGACCAAAAACACTTAACAGTCATAGAACTTCAAGGACGACAGAGTGCTAATGTCACGCTAGCTTCAGCACAGTAGTGGTTAGTTACAACATTGCTTCTCTGTAGGTAATACAGTATTTAGAGAGACTTCTTGTAAGACCAGGTAGACCTGAAAGGATGGGATGCTTCGGATTAGAGGAGAGGAAGGAGGCTCTCTTTAGGATTTTGGAAATTGAATGAATTGAAGTGCAAAGGAAAAGAACATGCCATTGTTGTCCACATGTAGCAGTCAGAATCTTTGCAGAAAAACGGTGCATCCAAAAGTGTTTAATTGAAGAGAGTTTAACCAAAGGGCTATTTACAGAGGTATGGTAATTGTTAAAAGAACTAGAATGAAATGGTGAAACATGAAGTGGCAAATCAGTAGGTAGTCTGGGTGATGTAGTTCATAGAGGTCGGCTTCCCAGAACAGCACAGAGGGAATTGGGCAGGAGGAGACACAGCAAACAGATTAGCCAGCAAACATGATATCAGGGGAAGGAAAAGTCACCACTGTGGACTTTTTTTTCCCGTTCAAATTCAAAATCTACACTAAGACTTAGTTTCCTTTGCCGTTAAGTGGGGATAGTAATGACTTTGTCTCAGGGTGATTGGGGGATTCTGATACAAGGTATGAAGGTGCCTAACAGAGAACCCCATGCATACTAGAGGCTCTTTAGAAAGAAATGAAACTATATTTTAGTTTTTTTCTTCCTTTCTGTACATGCCTAAATGACTCCTTGCCTGACACACCTTTTCCAGTTAAGGTCTCAAAGTGTGGCTGGGACTGAGTAAATGAAGGTTAAAATAGTAGGAGATGAAGTCAGAACACATAGGTCCCTGTAGCCCATTGTAATGACTTTAGCTTTTAACAGGAGTAAGGTAGGAAATTATTGCATTCAAAAATATTTGTTTAGAACATACCACATACTAGTCACTAATTTAGTCATCAGAGATCCATTGATATACAGTCCCTATCCTTGAAGACAATATTGTCTTATGAAGGAGACAGACAATTTCAATATAAGGTATAAGTGTTAAGATAGAAGTGAACATAGAATATAGTATGGGAGCTCATAGTAGGGACACCTGACCAATCTTTGGGGCATCTTAAAAGGCATCCTGGGGAAAACGATGCAAGCTTAAAGTTACTCAATAGAACTTAACCAGATCTAAACAGATAAATGGAGTTCTAGGCATTTGGAGAAGTATGTGCACTTGAAATTTCTTAAAAAGTTGGTGGTGTGCTGGGAATTACAGGTAGTTTATCTTTATTGGGCAGTTGGCTTTGAGCAGGAGGGTGGTGAGAAGTAAGACTAGAAAAGTAGTTTCTAGTCTTA